CGTGGTTAATTATATGATGCGTATATAATATAATATTATAATATATTTCTAACTGCGTTTAAATTTGTCAATATGTCAAATTGAATACGCACACGTTAACAATATGGTAACAATAACCGTAAATAAATTTTAGTTAAAAAAAAAATAACAAATTTAGTAGAGTAAAATAAGGAATTGGATGGATATGTAATAGAGTATAATATTATCAAGTATAAGTAAATTATTATTATTAATACTTCAATCACACTTATATAATAGGTAGGTATTTGTGGATATTTTTTTCGCAATAAACGCGTCGAAACTTGAACTATAAAACACACAACACAGACACAGCGTGCCAACTTCACTTTGCTTTAAATACTAATTTTAAACATATTTTGATATGATGAAACACATCTAAACGAGAAATCATAGGTAGTCGATGATAATAATTTTATTAGTATTCTAATGAGCTAGAGATATGTACATAATATTATGATAACAAGTTTCGAAAATAAATTCTGTAATATGTTTCAATGAGTCAATAATCTGAATACTGTTTTGGTAGGATTAGGTTAGGTAATGTATGACCTGTGTGTCGACTGCTGAGAAAGTATATTATAATATTATTATAGTTATGTAGTCTTTGAGATTTGAGTACAATTTCATTCAAAATAATGCGTTCGTCATGTCTGCATAAATTTATATTTGAAGGTAATTAATTCTCAGACGATGAGGTATAATCAATAAAATCTATATGTTTTCGGTTTTTGTTTTGAATTATTTTTATTATTAATTACTTATTACTTATTAGTATTATTATAGTGTTATAAGTATAAAATAATATTAGAGCAAATGATAGGTACTTACACAACAATACGCGATTTCTGAGGTACAGAATGAATTCAATTTGTTACATTATTAATTCATCTATCACTAGGTTATTAATTATAATAAATTTATTATTATATTATCTAATGTGTTGTACAGCGTGATTCATTTGGCATGCTCACTAATTTCTGGCGGGCTAGGTATAGGTAGGTAATATATAATATTATCACTGTAAGAGGTTTGCTGCTCCGTCAAAAATCATTGTGGGCTACTATCTACCAATGTGTTTCGTGAATCACCCTGTATAACGTTTCATATATACCATAATAGTATGATATAATATAACGTAATTTTTACACCGACAAACACACTGTGGTGTAGATCAATATATATAAATATATATTCAATTCAAGTAATGACACACAATAAAGGTCTTAAAATTAAAAAGTCTTATTAAATTACTCGAGTTTTGAGAAAATTATTGAACAATCTGGTTCAGGAATAATATTATTACAGTATAATACAGTAAAATTATTCAACATAAAATTTTATGTGCGTTTGAAAAATAACCGTCTTATAAAGTCGAAGTAAATCCCTAATTATATCATAGTAAAAAATATATTATTATATAACTAAACAAATCGCACGAAAACATCATAATAACATTGAATATTATTATCTTTTTTTTCTACCGCCTCAAACCGCAAACGTAAATGAGGTATTTGTAATAATAATAATATGTGTATATTTATACATGTTTTTATTTTAATTCGATATTATTTCAACGAGACACTTATACAACTACAAGTCTTAATAATAATTTATAATTCTATGATAGAAATATTATTATATTATGTTAATTAGTGCTTGAATTGCATGGGAGGGGGTGTGGAGGACGTTTTCTCTCTTCTCTTCAAAATATATTTATGCTCACCCTTTTTAATATTAAACCCGAATCAATGAGACATTTCAATACCCGGGTGTGCATAAATTTGTATACTCTTGCATCCCCCCTTCTGATTTTCCCAATACAATCCCTGTTTGGCTGTATATTATCTCACATAACATCATAGAAAATCTATACGAATTCACTTTTAAGCATCTATGGTGATCTATAAATTTGGTTTGTATGCGATATCAATCATAAACCATGTTATTATATTATATGTTATCAACATTATTAATTTATTTTGAACATAACTACACTCCTGTTATGTTGTCCTATACTGCCGTGTGGATTAATCCTGGGCAGAAATTTGAAGTCCAATCTGGCCCGTGCATGGAAATCATAACGATTATTGATTATTGATTATTAAAATACTGTAACCAAAATTATTAAAAATCTAGTAGTACATTGTGTCACCAGGTTATTATTCACGTGATTGTTGTATAAAACAGAGATTGAACTATATTGAAGTACTTACTTACCTACCTATTACTTTTATATTATATATTGTTATACTATGCTCGGCATCTATATTTTTGAATTAAACATAATAATATTATAGTACTATTGAACACAATTAATTATTACTTTATAAACATATAGATAACTTACGAGTATGATTATTGATAAATAAATCGTTTTGATGTGGAAAATAAACAGAATATTAAAAATGAACGATGACGTTTCGTTCGGAAATGATTATTATCTCATTTAAATTCGATAACAAGTCGATATGACATCATATTATTATTTAACAAAAACTTCTAAAGTTAAGATTTGATTACACTAGTTACACTAGTACAAACGGCAGTAAGTATAGGTACAATAATATTTGTAAAAATAATTATGGTTAATATTATTAGGTTACGTTCGTAACAAAATCTAAAATGTTAAGTTATTATTGAATTATTATAGTTATATATATTATACTTAATACTATTGTGCTTTGAAATAATATACATTCAAGTGAATTTATTAGGTACAGTAGTTACATCTGAAACACGAATTAAAACCGATTGATCAAAAACGTTCAAAGTCGTTAATTTTTACAAATTGTTTTCATTTACTTATTTTTATTCCATAAAATTTATCAATTGAGCTCATAGTAATAAAGATTGTTTTTTATTTTATTTTTTATTGCATATACCTATTAATAAAATATATCTATTTTTTTCAAACGTACATTCATGAATTATTTGTACAGTAAATGTATAGCATAAAATGTTCTTAGGTTGAAACTATGATAGGTATATATTATAATATAATAATATATTAGGTAATATATTAAAATATATAGGTATTAAAATTATCAAATTTTGATACGAATTGTCATTATCATTACTATGCGCAGGTATTATGTAAAAAAAATAGTTTTATTTATTTTCAAAACCACATACACCAAGCGCGTTTAACACTCATCATTAATCAATGCATGTATACCAACTTATATATTATTTTTAATTATATATTATGTGAGTTCTAACCAGTGCGATGTATAGGTAATAATTGAAAATGTACATTGTTTGTCACCCATTGTGGAGTAATATACCTAAACGACAAATAAATTGTGAGTTTCTTATTACAACTTTTCGGTAATTTTGACGTCTGCAACGGTATCAAATCTAATACGCGCACACGTCGAGAACACTGGAGTTGATTGATGGCTTAAAAAGTTAAAACAATAATTAAGTACATTATGCTATACTTATAGTACATCGTTTCGAAATGATTTGAAACCACGAGGAAGCCCTTAGAATAGTCAATGCCTAATATCAATGTTTTTCGCCAACCATCGACGTTTTAAACGATAATTATTATAGCTATTAGAAACTACTGAAGTATAGAATTATTCCATTAATCGTGTATTAAACGGTTATGTCTTACGCTGTCTGAAGAGACGAGTCTTGTTCATAACAGATTTAAGTATAATTCAAATTTGACGTGTGTATGTGAGGTAAAGGACAAAAGGGAAAATCGAAATATGTTGGTGTGATTAATCGAAATGATCGATTACTGCAGGAAAACACTCCACCTTTTCGTGATAAAATCCCGTAATCCTATACGAAACGAAATGATAAACCGGAATGTTTGCTGGCTGATTAGCAATTTTCGTTCGAATGGCATAAAACACTTAGTTTGTAGCTTATAATTATATCGTCAGATCACAATATCGTTAGTACGGAAATAAATTTGATTGCGTCGCATCCGACTTGAATAATGTTGTATCATATACTCCGTGGACGCTATTGCAATGAAGTCATATATTCAATCATTTCAATCATATTATAATGGTAAAAATAAAGCACCATTCAGAAAGCATCGATGTGCAACATATTACTAACCAAAAGCTTTAAAATATAAGTTGCACAATACTGTCGAAAAACATTGGACGGCGTTCGTTAGTTATACAAAATACCTACGGTATGATACGGACGTGGTAATAATGTTGGTAGTTGTTCCTACTGGTACCTAATAGTACTTATTTGATATTTAGATATTACAGATTCGTTGTTCAGTTATATTTGTTAAACGCGTCAGTTTAATAATTTAGCTGCATTTAGTACCTATGAACAAAGATGTATATCATATTATAGTATTTAGGAAGACTCAGTGCCATGTTCAAGGGAGAGGGGGGAGAAGGTCCACTACTCGGGGTACAAATTTTTTAATAATAGCGGGAGCAATATGTTTTTTTTTTAAATTTTAAATTACATTCAAATGTTTCATAAAACATGATTAAAATAATATTTAAAAAAATTAAATTAGTAAATGTCACACTATTTTTTTAGTGGACATATATAATTTTCTAAACGTGTATAAATCGATTCAATTCCTAACCATGTGATTAGATATTACCTATAGTTTAGATTTAGTATAAAAGAGTTAACATGGCCCTGAGTATAAATAAGTGTACTATGCGAATATGTTTCGTATTTTGGAAGGAGGTGTGAAATCCAATCGATTTCGTACGTATAATATGATGTGATTATTATTGTGCGTGTCGATCCAACCGTCCACTGAAAGTCATGTGTACATGGGCAGTCGTACTTTGGGGTCAAGTGAGGTTACAATACAAAATGTATATAACATAACAGCTAAATATAGGTAAACTAGTAGGTAAATTAACTAGTAAGTATAGGTACACGGCCAGGCTTGAAATCTAAAAGTAAAAATCTTCTGTAAAATCGAAATTATATTAATAATGTTAAAATGTAAACTGAAATCGATTATTATTTATATCATATTAATAACCGTTTTATAATTTTGATAGGCAAGTCGATTTTAAATTTATTACAATTTAAAACACAACAATATCCAACAGAGCCATAATATTGTTCATCAGTAAAGTTGTATGTAATAATAACTAAAATTTCAGATTTTCTGCAGGCTTGTCCTGGACGACGTGTTTGGAAAGCACGAACGACAATCAAACTAGTATAGTTAGAAATCAAAATTGTAAAAGTGATATTTTAATTGAAAAAAGAAAAATTATTTTTCTTTTCATTGTATTATGTTGAAAATCTATCTACGAGTTCTGAAACGATTAAATCGATATATAATTGCTTTGAATTAAAATTGAAAACTTCCAATTGGATTTCAAGCCACGGCACATGGAACACATGATATTATTATTATTATTATTATTATTATTATATATAAGCGATGGCGTGTTTTTTTTTATCCGTCTCATAGGACGTTGAGAAAGTTGACTTTCTTCTGCATGGCTTTCTGTTCGCCGTCCAATAGCACGGAATCGGTGATCGGCGAACTTCCCAGATTCTCTAGCAGCCTCCTGCTCCTGGTCGGCATGTCCGGCAACAGCGGCATGGCGTGAGGGGGCGTGTAATCACCGATCACACAGCCAGCCGCCGTGCCGTACTCACCACCGTAGATGCCACCGCGGCGAATGTAATCCTCGGCGGCCGCCGCAGCAGCGGTCCGGAACGTGGACGCGATCCGCTCCATGGACCGTTCCTCGGCTATCTTTTCGGCTGCGCGCGCAAACACTTGACACTCGTCCTCGGTCATCGGCCGCCGTCCCGCGTAGCAACCACCTGTTGTATACGATATATGCACAAAACGCCCCCGTCACGCTTTCCCATGTCGGTTCCACTTATAGGTACGTAATGTATTATATATATAATATATACAGTAGAAATCGAGTGTATTATATAACGACACCATCAGGCACACATCTATTTTTATGAAAGGGAGTGTCAAATTGTTTTGTAAATTTAGGGATCGGTAAATTTACATTATTATCATGTACCTATATTTTTATGTATAAAAATAGTATACTAAATAAGTAGTAAATAGTATATTATTATTATTATAAGGTATCTGAAAACAATTATTGCAGTTCAAAAACAGTATATTGTTTGCATCAGTTTATAGGAAAATAATATTAATAATAGTATTAAGCCATGAATAAGCCCTGCTCGTATCTATTTTATCTATTTGATGAGTTGCAATATTTAATGCTGTTCTCGTGTCCTTTGTATTAGTCGTAAATGTTAACTACTGTGAGTGCAGTTGTGTTATGTTAGTATCGGGTATCTACCCCACATGTCAACGGTAGTGCCGAAAATCGAGATATTTTACTCAAAACACTCTTTGCAAAAAAAAAGCTCTTACGCCTCATAGAGTTGTCTGATTTTATTATTACAAAATCTTGTGAAATTAGATAATATTTAAAGTCGTATTATATAATATTATGGTTTAGAGATGCGTCCTATAAGAAGTATTCGTCTTTCCAAAAAAAAAAAAATATATCAAAATCGGATTACTTAATGTGGGATTTCAGTTCTTTCTGTATACATATACAATATTTTAGACCATAAAACAGGTCCTGTATACAAGCCCCTTAACATAAAATCTACAATGTAACATTTGTTTCCTAAATATTTGAGAAATATATAATAGATGATACATCAATATTTATAGAAAAGTTATATTAAATTATGTTACATTTGTATGATCATAATTAAAAGTAAATTTGACAAAACCTCACGAAGGAACATGCGTATATTATATGATATTTTATAAGTGGGTGTGAAATTCATAGTTGATTCAATTTTCTATGAACTGGCATTGTCTATATCAAAATAGTTAAACCATATATTTTAAAAAATATTTGTTTTTTTTTTTGGTCTAAAATATTTTGTTCCGGCATATGCAATGTTTAAATACGGACCTGGACACTGTTAGTTTCCCGGGTGCTATATGAACACTTTTGTCTAAAAAAAGTTATAATCGTTTATCATAGGAAAAGCTGAAAAGTTTCGTTGTTTTAGGTCATGAAAATTTTCCTTCAATCTGCCGTTCGAAGAAAAAGGCATGTGTGACCGCATACCTAGTTATTTAATGAACAGTTGGTTTCATTCTATATACGGGTATGAAAAATCAGAAACTCAAGATTTTCAAGTATTGTATTATATTGTATAGTTTACAATAATCCCACACTTAAGTTATATAATGGAAGTTACATTTTTCCCTCCAAACACTACTTCGATGTAGCAAACATTCTACTATGGCATACTCATTCAGAATTGTAAAACTTTTTATCGCTAAGACGTGATGATAGTTGTTTTGGGATGCCTTGAAAGTAAGCAGATATACCTAACATAAGTGTGTCGACAGCTATATGTTGTTGATTAACAAGGTATCATAATATGTCTCTGTTAGGTACCTATATGCATTAACATTTTTATAACTCTAGGTAATTCAAATTTTTTTTAACTCTTTGATATTTGAAACTGTTAGAAAATCAAACACTTAGTTCTTCGATTTTTTTCATACTTCCCTCCATTTTTTAACCATCTAGTATTGAAGATTTATTGCTTACCACGACCATAGTTTACTTTAAAATTGGATAAGATCGCGCTACGGTAGGTATGAGTCGGTTAGGTCAAGTTTAATATTAAATTGGAGAAAATTCAATAAAAACTAAAATTACCTTTTTTTTTTAAAAAAAAAAAGGATAATAAATGAGCATGTTTATACATATTATTTAATATTACTATAATATTGTAATAATCTTATAATATAATTAATCAACATATTATTTTTTGGCACCCTGTTTCCCAAATGTAGGTTAGTATACGATACGTCAAATAAAACAATTATTTTTTACCGTCCCCTCCAATGTCGTTATAACCGATTTCTACTGTACATATGTATATACATTCATGCAATGGAAATAAACATATTACATAATAAATTAAATATAAATATTAAATTATATTATACAATAATAGCTGTGTCACACACACACACACACACACACACACACACACACACACACACACACACACACACAAATACACAACACACCCCTACCTGCATAGCTAGTATACATACGACGTGAGAGTTATTTTTTCAAGTCGATTTTACTTTGATATCTATTAAAGATTTTTTATGAACTTTTTAACATCCGGGTAATATACAATGATATTTACTAGGTTTATAATATGTATGACCACCGTACTAGAATCATGAGTGGAAACTTTAAAAACTTCCGATACATTTTGTATACTGACATTATAATATATTGTATAAACTTTTCCAAATCTCACTACCTAAACGTAACCAATATTGAATATACCTATATTATTATATCCTTGCTAGTCTAGTTACTGCTTAACCTAACCTAACCCCATCTCTATAAAGTTCGCCAGACTATATATAATATCCTGTTTTAAATTTATGCGTTGTTACAAAATCTTATATTGATTGTAAATAAAATACAACTCCAAATAAATTATTAGGAAACTCATAAACTCAATTTACTGAGTTAAATTATGTATGACGGTAGATATTCAGAATATGCTATACTGTATTATAACATATTCTTCCATTCTAACGGAAATTATTATCATAAGTGATCATTTTCTCGACTCGTCGATTTCCAGTTATAAAATGTCCACTTTCAAGGAATACAAACAGGAAATGTGTGAAATATTTCATCATTCTAATAATATAATTTGATTATAATTGTAAAAGCATAAATTAATGAAGACCAAGAACAATTTTAAACACATGCATCTACGTCGAGTGACACGAGGTATGCATATGATTTGTGAATCTACAATATCGTCAGTTTTAATTTATCTAATCGTAAATTATGTACAAATGTACAATACACAGTTATACCAAAGAATATAATATGAAATATAGTAAAATATTGGTAGTAATTTTTTCGTCTTCACATTTAGTATATGAAATGATTTTACATAATATTATATAATAAAGCCAAACGTAATACAAACGAGTAAAAGTTTTAAAATAGTATTCCCACTATAAAAAGAAAAACATATTATATTATTAATAGAGTTTAATAATATATTATGATGGCTTGGTGAGAAGCGGCCGTACGTTCAATCTGTGGCAACGCTCTGAGCGTACTTATCGCCTGTCGCTGATAGCACTCGGATGGGTGACCACCCTGGTTTTTAGCAACACATACTTGCCACACATACAAACGTGTTCTAACTAACCACCCCCCTCTCCACACAGTGCCAGGATAATAATGACCTTAGTAGTGGAAGCCTTAATCCAAATTAAAAAAAAAAATTATATTATCGTTTATCTTACTGTCGTGACATACTAGATGTATACTGACTAGTATTACTTATTTATTTTTCTATACCAATTGGGTAGCACTGGCCGTTAATGGTTGAAACGCTTGCAAAGATGAAAACAACGATATAAACACAATATAGCAGATGGTCACACTTATTGACTGGCTTAACTAAATATGTACTTGTCTGCCGCTGTGGCATGTATGTTATATTTTTTGGTAAGGTTTTAAAGAGTTTAGTTTTAGTACACAAAGTATGCATAATACCTATAAATATATATTATATATATAAATCACCATGTACTGCATGCTGCATGTATACGTGGATCGTGTGTGTACTATGTATATGAGTGTATTGTATATATAAGGTATAATATTATATTATAGTAGGTACTTTTCAACATACCACATCATAAAAAGAATACCTATATAATAATATATATCATAAATAGGTCCAGCGTAAGTTATATAATAAAGCGAGACGAAAATACGTGTATACGCTCGTTTAGGATGCGACGATCAATACGAGTGCAATATCATGGCCTGAACCTTTTTTCCTCGGTTATATAATAGAAATTGCGTAGGGAATCATGAAAAAAAATACCACTCTCACTATTATAAACGGTACGCGATAAGAGAAATATATAATAATATACATATTTAATACATACATTTTTTTTTGTATATACCTACCTAATATTATAATAGTGTAAGAGAAGATGACATCGTCTCAGAAACTAGCGCAGACACTATTTTCGCTTTGAATTATGTAGGGTATAGCTCGTACCTACTTATATAATAATATAGACTTTATCGCTCGGTGTTTATCGTGTGCGACGTATAATATTAAAATATTATACCATAACACAATATAAGATACCGTAGTACGCTTATGTTGTAACACAAACGGTGATGTCAAACAAATGGATATGGCATTCTCATCTTCACACTAAACAAGTATACTTTAGGCCAACACAACGGAGAAGGAAACGATATCGTTGTCACTCGCGCAGAATGGCTCCTGAGCACACAGAGAAACTATAACATTTAGACAAGTAACAAAATAGATGTTTAATAATGTTTTAGTGGTTAACAATGCGGTATCAGTTGTGTTGGCTTACAGATCGTCATACGATGCCGCGCGTATAAAGATAAGTTTAATATCGGTGAACGTAATTTATCAATAACAAACACCACCGTGCCTAAGTTAGCTGGTATATGTGTCAATCATCATTATTCGTAAGAACAATATTAATAGTTAATAATAGACAGCTCCTTGCCCAATCCTAGACATTATCGAAATAATATTTTGCTTACAACATTCTATACTCGTCAATATTATAATATTATACCTAACGATAATTATATGCATATACCTTTATGCATATAATATTAATTGATATATATAATAAGAGATGGGAAATTTTACCGATGTTATTTTTACTCGAAAATTTTTTTTACTGTTTATCGAATCAGCAATCCTTCATTTCAATTATTGTTTTCATTTGTACTATAGTATCATTTTAATAATATTCGGTTCACGGGTACAGGTTATGATGGATGCGTAACTTAATATTAATATACTGTAGTAAAGGTAAACTAAGATTATACCAGGAAAATATATAATTATTATAGCAATATAATATTGATATTCTCTGGTTATATTATTATTATTACATTATGTTTTATAATTATTAAAGCGCATCCAAAAAAATTCCAAGAAAATTTACCGAACATTTTTTACGGTAAAACTCCCATCACTATTATTTCATATTATACTTAATAATATACATACTGTTTTTATTGTCAAAAATATTATAATACCGTCTCACTTGTGTGGGTATAATACTTTTATGCTGTTATTAGAAAACAATTTAGGGTTGACGGTATTGCAATTGGTATTGCGGTATTTGATCCAGTACCGATATCGAACTGAATAAATCGGAGAAAAAAAGTAATGTTGGCACATACCAAAAAGCCGAAATACTACAGAAAAAAACTTGATATAGGTTTGACGGAAATTCCAGTATAAGGTATTAGAACAGGAATATCGAAAAATCCGTCATCCGTATTAATTCGGCTTTACGGTTTACCGTTCAATGGGCATTTTAGCAATAACCAGTAAATTAGTCAACCGGTACTATACCGATAAAACGTATAAGAAAACTAACCGGTATCGTAAAAACCGTCAACCCTAAGAATATTGCGTATCTTAGAAATTTATTTTCTTATAATATACCTGCAGCGGATAGCGACGGCAGCATGGACGACGAATACTCATGTTCGGCGTTCTCGCGGATCCGGGCCAGGCGCAGCAACTCCTCGTGCAGCCGGACGTTGTCCTCGATCTGCCGCCGACGCCGAGCGATCTCCGCCTTGATCCTGGCCTTTTTCTCCTCGCGCTGCAGCTCCTCGTCGTGCTCCTCCTCGGCGGCCAGCGCTGCCAGCGATTCGTAGTCGCCGATTCCGACGCCGCCGCCGTAGTCGTCCATGTAGTCGCAGTAACCACCGTAGCCGCCGTAGCCTCCACCGTCGTCGCCTCCGCTCAGATAGGCGGTCGGTGTCGGCGACGGCGACGGGTCCCACGAACGCGACCGGCGGCTGGGTGTGCCGTACTTCATCATGGCCGCTGTCGAGGTCATCTGCAGGTGTGGGTGGTAATCGTACGACCGGCGCGGTTCCGAATCTCCGCCGCCGTCGCTGTACCGACGCTGCCGACGGTTGTGACGCCGAACGTCCCATCTGTGGAAGGAAAAACATATGATATAATATAACATGTGGATGTGTATAAATAAGTCCTGACCACAGACTGGTAGGGACAGCCGAAACTACAGAACCAATTCATGTGAGATTTGGAAGAAAGGTAATTAGTTATTGCTATGTATATAGGCACAGCACTAATAGAAAGGATTTTGTGAAATTCGAAATTAAAAAACGAACTCACGCAGACATTGTGTCAGCTATGAATATGATTGGGTACAATTTTAATATGTTGTAAATTGTAATACGTATATTATATTTACATTGTATGTGGGAATATTTAATTTTTTTATTTCGAGATTACCACTCTTTGTTCGATTGTTTGAAGGTGGACGGGTAGTCGAAACTATGAGCATGGTCAGCTCATAAGGCTTACCTTTTGTGATCGGCCGTGGCGGAATTCATCGCAGTGTTCGTCCCGCGCCGGTGGCCATTGTGATCGTAAATCGCTGCCGACGAGCCGATGGCGGTCTCGCGCAATGCGCCACCCAGATAACCAGATCCACCGCCGGTGTCGGGCCAGTGACGCCAAGACGTAGTGGACGACGGATCTTCGCCGCCGCCATATGACCGGGACCTAGGTCTAGATGGCATAAAGTCCTGCCACAAACACGTATATTGTATTAATATCATGATATGCATAGTCGTCGCGGTCACGTTATTTATAGAGATGACTGTGGTCGTGATCAAGCCACAGCGACAGACTGGGGCTGTACATCGGGCTACAGGCATAAAAATTTGCTAAATTATCCGATTAATAGTATACAATGTAAAGTAAATATAATTCTAACTCTTGGTCTTAAAGTTGGTTTAGTTTGTATATCATTTTTTTAACTTCAACGTGTTATGTAATCAAATTACATTTTAAAACATTCGAATTTGTTCACACTATAAACAATATAATCACTCGAAATAGTATCTGCCATAATTTTCATCGACCTTGCAAGCAAAAAGAATTTCCACATTTCCACCAATGGCCAGTCCCGGCTACTGGGTCAATGGGGACCTGCGGGTGGTCGTTGTATGACATCATATGTGGGTGTATATCTATTATATTGTGCCTACACTTACCGAGTTTCTGCTGCTGTAACCTCCGCCCAACACGACGTCGTCCAGCAACAGTGCGGCAACCGTGGCGTCGTCTTGCTGCTGTAATCGCAGCAGGTCATCGTCGTCGTACACGTCCGACAAGTGTTTGTTACCGCCCAACCCTCTGATCAGCCGTCCACCGCTGCCGGTTTGTCGTTGCTGCTGATTCTGGTACCATCTTCTTTCCAGATGGTCAGGACTGTAAATACCAAACAAGTAGGGATATAGGACACGCCAAACATAATTGATAATATTGGCATAATACCACGACGATTGATCGTGTTTGATATACAGTGAAACCTGACTTAAGGGTACCTCTCTTAACGGATAAAATGACCAGGTTCCGGCAAAAAGATAGGCATTCTAATGTATTTCGACCTCTCTATAACGGACTCCTTCTATTACGGACACGGACACTAATATTTAATCCAACAATTTCATAACGGACAAAAATACATACATACATACTACGCAACAGCGTCGATAAGGAACAATCAAAAAGATTATTATATGTGAATGAATTAATTATTCATCATGAGTTGGAAATGCCCAAATCGAAGTTCAAAAAACAAACATCAATAGAATCAATTTTTTAAAAATAATTAATAAATGTATACAAATATACTAGTATATACATATAATACATTTATAATGTGTCATTGTATGTATATAATATAAAATTAATAATTGTAATTGTAATAAATAATTAAAATTAAATTCATAATGTAGAATGTATGTGTAATGTGTATAATACATATATGTATAATTTTAATAGAGATTATACCTAATATGTACATATTATAAAATATAAAACAATACAAATGTACGTAAAAATTTTAATTTTTAAAACATTGAAACTCTACAACGGACACCTGTCTATAACGGACAATTATTTTAGTCCCGTAACTGTCCGTTATATACAGATTTCACTGTAGTTCAAATCCGTCAAAACTTCAAAGTCAATTTGGTACAATATTTGACATAATACAATTGTTAATTTGTATGTATAAAGACATAAAGTAACACTGTATTACAAGTTATTGTATTATCTGACCTAACATGGCTTAAAATTGGTCAATATTCAAATTGTTTTCCGTTTTGTTTCAATTGAAATATATAATAAAAAGTAGAAACACATTTACGATAGTTAATTTTATGATTTTCCACTTCTTAACTCTGTACATATTTTTTATGTAAGCACAAAAAATAGGGAAATTATTTAACTAAAGCTTAAAAGACAGTGTAAATCTCAAATCGTTAATAATTTAGATTGGTATTCGACTTTAATCGTTTATAAATAAAAAATTAGTTATGAATTAAAAAAGAAAATCGTAAAACTAATTATTTAAATTGTGTTCATATAAATGGGTATTTGATTTTTTTTATTTAATTTATTAGTAAAAATATTTGTATACTATATTTACTAGTAATATATAATCTGTACCAATTTTAAACCATTTAAATAAACAAAAAAATATTTAATTTTTGTTGACCAAACTAAATGTATGTATTAACTATACTTTATATAGCAACGTATGATGGTTGAAATATAAGATATAAATAACCAGTGCATCTCAATGAATCCATTGGTATATTTTTTATTGAAAATGGTCCAGTAGTTTTGCAATTTATAGGGGACAAAAGTTCAAATTAATTTGTATATATTGAGCATTGGCATAATATTTGTTATTTTGTTATAATCGTAATAATTCAGTAAACTATTGCATCAAAAAACTATTAATTTCAATTCAATATTTTAAGAAAATATAACTATCAATTAATTTTTCCAGGAAAATGTTGATCACTTCTAACATATAAAGCTATCACATGAAGTCATTGAATTGCAAAAATGGTGAATTCTATTTCATAATAATATCCAATACAAATTTAATCTCACTAATAATAAAATGATGCATAATATAATAATTTAATGTCACGGAGCGAATAAAAAATAACAATACATTGAGTGACAATACGTTTATAACAAATGTGATGTAAATTGACAAGATGATCGAGTTCACAACTGCAATTTCCAAATTGCTATTTTTACTAGTCAAGGTCTTTTAAAATATTCATCAATCTATTTACACAAGCACGCTGAAAGACATTTTCCATTTCGAAATTAAAAAAATCGGTATATTCTCTCAGTAGGTGTTGATTGTCAAATGTATCTCAACCTCATCATCGGGTTAAGGTCATAATAATAGATGTGTTCAATTTAAATTCAATGAAAAGTCATTGTACCTATAATATGGAAACCAATTTTTCTTATCCTGAGTGAAAGAGATATTTTACCAACGTCTATTTCAGGGAGTACCTATAATTCTGTACATTATAGTAGAATGTTTAAAGTTCTAAAACGTTTTGAATTAAATCACAAAAACTAAATTCGTTATTATTTATTAGTTTTATTTTATATTCGAATATGTAGTTTTATTAAAATTTGAACTTAAAATATTTACCACTGATTATATAAAGTAGGTAAAAACTTATATTAAAGTTGATTAACTCACTATTTTTAACAATATTTTTTATTTAATTCATTTTTAAATTTCCTTTATTCAAAAATGTGTTAATAACTATTAATTAGAGTTGGGTGTTTATACTTAATATATATTTTGTACTTACTCAAGTGCTTGTCTTCCATTAAAGTAAAAAAATGTACCTCTACATAGTTTTTAAAAAAAATGTATTAAAAAAGAACATTTTAACTCAAAACCAGTTTTTGAAAAAATCGATTTTGCTTTTTTAGTCCAACTCAATGATTGTATGTACTTAAAATCGTCACCAAGGTTTTTACAAACACTTTCTGTAGTGATAAAAATTTCAAAATATTTTGAATGTTTTTTAGCTACTTATTTATAGATATTTGAAATTTTTCATTTTTTTTTTTTTTGTTTCTTTAAATGTCGATAAAATTGTTTGCCCAGTCAAAAGATATGAATTTTATACAAAGTTCCTCATACATTTTGTAGACACCGTTTAAAAAACCAAACGACAGTTGATCAGCGACATGATTCAGCCGAAAAAAAAAATACCTGTGCCAAAAATGTCCAAATAAAAAAATGTCAGGTTAAAAGAAACACAAAATATAAAATACAAATATATAGAAATTATAATTATAATTTTAACTATTGTTTAAGGCTCAATATTTAGAAATAAATATTATGTGCTATATAGTATATATCTTTTAAATATGTATTGATATATTTTTGTTTCATACTAACATTAATTACACATTTTTAAGGAAAAACGGAATGTTCACGTCAGAGGCGGCATAGTGACATGTGGAAGGTTAGGTCAGGTTATGTTTCACAAGATAAGTTTATTGTGTGCATACTGCACATATCAATCACATACTACAAAATAGTAATTTACTACGCTAAGGTATTACAACCACATAGGCGCGTACTCTTTTTATTGTCTATATTGCAATGAGCTCATAAAAAATTGACTTTTTACATTCCGTTTCTAAGTATAACGGTATGACAGTATGACATAATGAATTGGCTATACGCAACAGCCCTGCGGTATGTACATAATATTATAATATTAACACAATTTTATACTGTCCACTCCAAATCCATACTTAACCCAGCATGTCAGGGCCGTAGTCAGAACGGTGGTTTATGAGAGAGTGGGCCTGAGGCGCAAATTCCAAGACTTAATATAGGGGTAGTACAAAATAAATATAATTACCAACTCACTATGTACTTTTATACAACTCAAGTGTAAGTATTATATTTTAATGTTTGTAGCTAAAATGTAAAAGTTAAATAAAAATGTGTAGACTATGTTTCATTACGTTTAGTACCTACATATATATATATGCATGAAATCTACTGTCTTTGTAACAGCTAATCTCAGAAACTACTCATCCGATTAATTTGATTTTTTTCTTAAATGATAGAGCATATAACGGAGAAGGTTTTAAGTCTATTTCAATCCCTATAGGTAGCAAAAGTATTTATGAAACATGCATTTTTTCAGTTCACAATAAAACAATATTATTTTTGTTTATGTAAATAGGTTTGCAATTGGTTAAATATTTCATTACTAGGGAACGGATTTATAAGTAATAAAAATACAAAAATATGTGTATATATAAATGGAAGTATAATTTATGAAATATGTGCTAAAAACATCCAAATATGAGGGGGAAAAAATAAATTTAAAAAAAAAATACAATAATAATTATTAAATTTTCAAAATGATTTGTTGCATTGAATTATTACAATTTCTTTTAAATTATTGAATGTTAAATAAATGTCACTTATTAGGTGTCAAAATATTTTTAAAACAGCTAAATGATCTTTCCACATCAACCGATGTATTGGAGCATATTTGAAGCGCATAATATCAGAAGGCGATAATTCCAAATTTTTACAAGGGTGTCTGCCACTCATTGTGTCAATGATTGTTTTAAAATCAATATAGCCTGGGTTTTTATTTTTGTAACAGCATGAATTATCTTTTTTACAACATCTCCTATTGGTCCACTTACGAGTTTTAATTTTTCAATCGCTGATTCAACAATTTGCATACTATAATCGCCTGTCATCGATTGTCAATCGTATATAAATGTATACTATATTAAGATATCTATTATATCTATATGACAATTATAAGATAGCGACTATAAGACTAAAGATAACTACTAAATATTTGCTCCAAGTGGATCGTCACAGTTTATAATGGCTGTTTTGGTGCACAGCAACATGGATTGAAAACGTATGAATAATGAAATGATAAAATATGTTTAAAAATATTCACAAATTAGTAAAATATGTAAAAATATGAAGTTATACCAAAATGCGTAAAAATATGTAAAACAAAAGTAGTTAGCATAATTTTAACAGGAATGATTTAAATCGTGAACATTTCTTATCAGATCTTAAATATATCTTGTTTCAATAAAAACAAAATAAATAATAATATTTTAATAAATATGCATTTACACATAAATCCGTTCCCTATTCGTTACCTACCATTATAATATTATAATTAGTAGAAATATGGCATACACATTTTCTTTTACAAACATATATTTTTTCAAAACAAATCTTTGGCAAAAGTCATTGGTCAAGTCACAACTTCGAATAGAACTGCTGGTATAGGTAATAGGTAGGTATAGGTATATATATATGAATATGAAATATTGAAATATACCCACATAGTTGATATATGTAATTATATAAATATTAAATAGGTACACTTCACAGACCCATTGTGTCAAACTTTCATATTTGTAGTATTGTGTGGAAACTCTATGATGTTGCATATTGCTACGATAATAAAATGTAAATAAAATAATAGCCATGAAAACTGTATTTTATTTTATTAAAAATGTTCAACATTTGGATTAAAAAAATTCCTATAAAGCTCATTTAGGTCGAACAATTGTCAACAAATATGATCCATTGATAGACTCAAAATTCTAAAAATGAAACCGAAAAAAATTCCAATTTTGGGGTATTAGCATTATTTGCTAGCTGAATACAAACATTCAGTGAACATTTCATGTACGGTCTTTCTTTTAGATTTACACCAAAACCAGAAAATTAATAAACTCATTTATGAACTTGTAATGAAATTACGTAAGTATGCAACGATTATTGTTATTGTAGAGCAAAACTATAATCACTAATCAGACCGCAAAAATCTATTTTGTAAGGTATATTTTCATACAACTTGAATTTATAGGACCTGGCCCCAAATCCTATAAATGACATGCGTGGTGTATAATACATTTTATGACACACTTACACGTTACTAGTGGAACAGCGGTACAACAGACTGTTACCGTCATAGACTCCACCCATCGATCTCGCTGTAGTTATTGTCCTACCCCCGCCACTGCTGCGGTAATGATGTGAGTCCAGGCCTCCGAGGCCCACGCCGCCACCGCCTCCGCCGAACAAGGCTGCCGCCTGCCTGCCGGCACCACCGATGCGACGGTCTACGGCCGACGGGTAACCAATGCCCGTGTCGTCGTGATACGACCATGACGACGACGATGACCACGGCTTCCTGCCTCCGCCACCGCCGTATAAGCTCATCGCGGCCGTGTTGTTCTGCAATCATAATATGTATTTTTATAGTTACAACACCGACGGGTCAGTCGTAATGCGGAGTCTTGCGTGTGGCACGCGACGCTGTTGCAGTCTTGTAAAGTACTCAAGTATTCAAATATTTAAGTAGGTAGTAGTATACTTTTGAAAAAGGTAGATACTTTAAAGTGTTTTATATATTTTATCATAGTTGTAGGCATCTGTATATGAAAATCAAATATTTTTCTTTTTAGTATATCTTAGTACTTTCTATATTTTCATTTTAATCATTTAAAATAAAAAAATTGAGGAATGGAAGTGTGAATTTCTAAAAATTAACTCGGGCCTAATACAAATACATTGGTCTTGGCCACAATATCACTTCGTAGAAAAATAATTTATGAAAGTTGAATTTATTTAGCATCCGCATGAAATATTGATAACGAAATAGAATGAATTTGTCAATTTATAATCAATACATAGATATTAATAATGTATAATTTAGTTTAAAAGTTAGAGGAAAAAAAAACTTAAAATAGGTGGTGTCACTAATGGGTTGCTTCTTCCTTCAAAAATTCAAATGTAAATATTCTTTGTCGCATTTACTTATTATTCCGTGTAAGAATAGATAATACATTTCTTATAAAAAAAAATTTTATTTTGAGTTAAGTACGAAGTACCAACGGCAGATGTGTACCTATAATATACGTATGTTAGTAATTATATATACAAATACACATTATGCCTAAAGTCTAAAGTTTAGGCAATATATGACTTAGACTTTAAATGAGTATTCATTTATTATTTATTTTCAGAGATTTAATTTAATCAAATATAATTTACAATCATACGTCATATTCTGGTATGAACTGCAAATCATGACAAAATCACACTTTAAAACAAAGGTCTCTTGCCATGGCCTGAGTGCCTGACCTAAATTTAGTGATTAATGCCAGAGAATATGATTTTACATAGTTATAGCAAGTCTAGTGTCCTGTTCAATATCATCACTCTTACAGTCAACTATTAATGTACAAGAAATATGATAATTTTACACATAATATGATTATTTGAAAAAGTTACCATATTTTTTTTAAAACAATTATTTCTGGATCACTGCGTAGTTCTTACGATAAACTTACGATGTTACTCGTATAGTCGTATACATTATAATAATTAATAATACCAAGACTTTCTCAAAATCAACCACCGGAAGGATGAATATAATTTGTAAAATATTACATTATACAACCTTACAAACTAGGTATAGTGTTATTAACATATAAATTACTTTTTTATGTATAGACTCCGTTCAATTTTATGCACTTTTTGTAACGAGATACAAGTTTTTTAGTATTTTTTTGTCTATGGGTTATCTCTATACCCAACCAACAATTTAAACAACTTGGACGAAGAAAACAGATAAGTAATATTTGATAGTTACACCAAAATATGTATCATGATGTATGTAAAATGTTCTATCAAATTTATTGTATTCAATGTCAATATTGTGTATCAAAACATAGTAGTAAAAAAAATAGATATAATCGATTTATAAAGTAAAAAATTGTACGTAAAATATTTGAAAGTTATAGATTAAGCTTTAAATACTTTTCTAACAGAATATTTGCAAATGCGTTCGCACTGAGAGGAGAAGAAGGGCTTATACGTAATAATATGGCAATTCTCCTCAACTCCTCTCTGGGTTTTTGATAATTGTTCGTAATTTTATAGCATACATAACATGGAATGTCTTGTACAGTTGTACCTTATATAATATTTTTGGAATGAGAGTGTCAACAATGATGTACTTATAGTATGGTATATTAGAATAGGTAGTGATACTTAAGGTAGCTACATCAAAATTCAGGTGCGGATTAAGGGGAGCTAAAAGAACAAGTTTTTTTTACAAGACTGCGACTGTCGTTGTCATCGTCGACCAGCACTAAGAAAATGTATATCGCGGAAAGCTTACCAGTGAATTGGCGGCGGCCGTCGCCGCTGGACTCCTCTGCAGCAGTCCGTGTTGTTGCAGTCGTTGGGTTGTCGTCTGCCGGTGGTGCGACTGCGGTGTCGCCGCCGTGGTGGCTGACAACAAATGCCGCAGGTCGGGAGGCAGACAAGCGGCCAGTTCGTCGCCGCCGTCCGATCCGTATTTCCGCGTCAAACCTCCGTATTGCCTGGCCATCGAAGGCGTCTGTTCCCCGGTGCTGCTCACCAGGCTCGAACCTAAAAACGCAACAATCGATGAAAACACACGCGTGTAATGATGAGTAGGTATACGCAAGTACATTTATAATAAAATAATATTATTTTATGATGACGGTAATAGTTCCGGATAAACCGACGGTGAAAACCTAACCGGTACCTTTGAAATAATATAGCTCCGATAAAACGATAGATATCGAAGTGGACACAACAGCAATATGGTACAAAAGTACTAGCCAGAACCTTGCTTGAGATTGACTGATAGTATGTAATATAAGAGAAGCTTATAACTATATTATAGGTAGAAGCGTAATTGGCTAAAATAACTAAGGGGGAGGAGGAAATAATAACCTGAATATTGGTTGTTTTTATACAAGTCTTAGAACTCGTTATATGGCTTAGAAACAAATTGTATCTATGTATCGTTAAATAATATTCAATTGATAAATAGTTCATACAAAAAGTGCGAGAAAACCTCGTTAAAAAAAAAATAAAGATGTTGATAATTCCATGTGGGCATTCATAATTTTATGAAATAATATTATAGGGTTATTTTTGACACCCAGATAATACGACAACATTTTTAATATGCCAATATTATAATATTATACAGCAGGAGAAATTTGAGACACTAGCTTGGTACTTAATTGCAATTATTTAAGGACAATAATATTTGTATCTTATAAAATAATATGTATTTTAAATATACTACATTCATTCTTTATTTTAGAAAATTGGGGAGGGGAGAATGATACCTACAACAATTTTAGGGACCAAGTGCAGCCATCCCCAAAATTACTTCACTGACTATAGAATCCTTCATACAATTGGTATGCTGATACCGTGGGTAAATTGCATTTTTGACTTTTGCAGCAACCTTATCAATATACAAATATTACAAATACAATATGGTTACAATTGTGAAGCAGCTCACCACTGCTAAGTTGGAGGGGGGAGGGACATAACACTCACAAAATAAGTCAATAACCATGTTCGTGCTGTGAATAAATTATTTATAACTATAAAGATTTATTTTACATTGTTTATATCGTTTTTAATTTTAAAAAAAGGAACGTCCTTAATAATTAATAGAGTTTTTTTAAAGAGGCCAGATAATTGGGTTGTGCATCTGAGTGCCCAAAGTTCAATAACTGCTACAGAAGTATACGAATGTAATTCCGACAGTACACCATACCATTATAATATGATAATATTCTAATGGAGTTGACGACGACAGCAACAGCCACAACTACTGTAACAACGGAACAACAAAGGCAATATCATGTCATACGCACTGCACAAACAAATCGTTGCTTACAAATCCATCTCTGCACCCTCTTACTTTTTGAACATGAGTCTTGGCATTGACGTCGTACAATTATTTCGGCAAGGCCACTTAACCATTCTCTTATCAGATAAGCATTGCCTGGTGATTATAAAAAAAATAGTTTTCGGAACACGCGAAGCAGAGACACAATGTCGCCGTATAAACCATACAGCGAGAGGTATAGTTATACGTATAGTAAACCGTTGTACCTACGTCCACTGATTATGCTACGTCCTACAGTTATTATTTCACCAATTTAAAGTCGATTAAGCCAAATACTGTAGTTGTATCCCTTAAAAAAAATTAATTTTATTCGGCACGCAGATATAAATTGTTCATTTTGTATGATAATACGACCATAAATATCAGTACCCTCACGTGTAGCAGCACCAAATTATAAATGTTGCTTTCCTCAAAATAAAGCCACCGTCGTAAATGTTTGTAAGGAGGTAGTGGTAGTGGTGGAGGCAAGGCCATTATTAGGAATTTGGAGCCCGGGGATAATTTGTTGATGGAGCCCCTTAAATTAAATATTTATAAGGTGTATGGGGGAGGCAACTTCCACTTCGTCCCTCTTTGAAGACGTCCCTGTGTGGCTATGCTGCTGATTACATAGGTGATAATGGTTTCGTAAAAAATGTTAATAATTGTTCATTAACCTACACCAGTCTTTCGGAATTGTTTAAACACAAATCCTATGAGTTTAAATGAAAAAAAAAATGGTCAAACAATCTTGAATACACTCTAAAAAACATAGTACCTAAAACAAAACAAATATATAATTTTCATATTTTTAAAGATAATTTGGAAGTAATGTTTGTCTATTCGATTAGGTCTTGAGTACGAGTGTTGTTCATAAAAATTACTGTGGCAATATGATGAATGCTCATAGCTAACAATTAATCGTTTGTTGTCAATCGTTATGCTAAACCTGTACTTTCGAAATACTTTATTTCATCCCCACACTATTACGTAGTTAGTTTAATTTATAAAATTGTGTACGACCCTTAAATATTGCCTGAAAAGGAAATTTCATCTTACAGGTGCTATGGTAACCGTTGCCTCAGCACCCGATTCCAAGGTGCATTTCCCTGGCACCCCCACCTCGGAATTTTGAAACCGAAGTAGGAGCATTTTTTTGTGCTACAGATTTTCCTTACGTGCACACGCGATAATATGGAGATAATAACAAGATTAAAACGGGATGAGAGGCGTCCCGTTCGGAATTTGGCGGGACAAGCTGACAAAAACGGAACAATTTCCTTTTAAACCGGACGTAGCTGGCGGTGACCCTAGCTCGTAGAGGGTCACGACGGCGGACGACGGTGGCGTTTCCTGTGCTGCTACGTACCATACAATCCATAACTGGCCGGGGGCCCGCCGTGCCGATGGTTCTGGTTCTGCAGCTGGTGCAGCTTCGCGGCGGCCGCGGAGTAGTGCGGCGGCGGCGCGGACCTGTCGGTGTAATGCATCATCGTGGTCGCCGCGATGCCAACCACCGTGGGCGACGGTCACGCGCCGGCCGCTCAACCGCGACGAGGCCTCGGGCCGCGACGACCACCGTAACAATGGCACCGCGAGGTCGTCGGCACGGCCACTCGGCCAGCCTGGCGCACCAGATGAACGCCACAGCGACTGTGAGCCTTGCGTGACGCCGGTCCGCCGGCGGCGGTAAGGCCGCCGCCCACTACGGCCACGGGCATGTGGTATCGATATATACGCTATGCGGCTGCGGTGGCTGTGTCGGTGGCGGAAAAACACACACTCTCGGTGCGACGTGAAACGTTTCAAGGTACACGTCTCGTACGAGTGACCGTGCGATAAACGCCGTAATTGGCAACAACAACAACAACAACAACAACAGAAAAAGATTATGCGACGATTAGACGACGGCGAGCACGACGGGGCAGCGGCAGCGGACACGCGAACGCGGCGCGGTCTTGCAGCGACGGAAGCAGCGGCACTATAGTCACGGCGCGGCGGCGGTCACTAGTTCACACGAACGAACGCGATGCGCGCGGCTAACGATTTTGTTATTCGCAAATATCCCGCGGGGCGGTTATAATATTATATTATTATATATACGCGCTCTCGTACGTAGGTATGTATGTATATAGGTGACTGACGCTTGCGCTTGCGTGCCTATAGCATACGCCGTGCCGCCCGCACGTAATAACACGCACAACCACCCACCGACCCACAGACCCACAGAGCCACACACCCGCACACACTCGGCAGCGCGCACGCACGCCACCCGTTTATCGCTATCCGTCGTATAGCGTATTATGTGTGTGTGTGTGTGTGTGTGTGTGTGTGTATTTCACACACATAATAATATATCGCACGATATTGTGTACAATAATAATAATATATAATAATAATAATAATAATAGTATGAATAGCGCCTTATCTCTCCGGTCGTGGTCCGCGGCGATAGCTTTGCGACGGAGGCGGCGGCGATGACGACGACGACAGTGATGATACCGCTACCGCTCGCGCGCTTCCCGCCGCCGATGATCAATACCACCGTCACCGCCGCGGGACCTTTTGACCCGTCGCCTCGATGCCGCCGCCGCCGCGTCTTCGTCGTTCGTCGCAGTTTGACCTCCACGGTCACGCCGCCGCCGCCCGCGTACACGTGCAGCGGCGTGTACACCGCGACCGCGCGAGTTGTTGTAAATCTTTTTCGTCGGCGCGTTTACGCACACGCTATACTATACCTCGTGGCACGCACCACGCACACATATACTGGGTGATGCGTTTAATACGCAACACATTGGTATTTTCAAAAACTGTTTTGATAAATTGTAATGATAATTCCAAAGCACAATACTTTCTGGAGTCATCTACTTCGATTAGAGGTGGGTCAAACTGTTCAAAGTTAGAGAAATTGTACCTAACTTTAAATGTCACACCTAGTTTAAAAATAAAAAACTTATACGAACCAAACTCGAACAAAAGTTTGAATTTCCATAAGTAATCCAAAATCCAAACAGAAATGTACGATCCCCAAAAATAAATTCGAACACGCTAAAGGTTTCGCAAAAAAAAAATTTCATATTGAAACGTTGTAATTGACATTCGCAATTTTCATATTCATTAATTGTTGGTTTCACATAAAACTAAAAACCCTCAACTTGGATTCAGTTTGATACTAAACAAAATGTTTTTTATGTGTTCGTGTTTCGGTTCAACGTAATACGAATACGACGTTCAGTTTGAGACCATATTTGGGAGTTCGACTCACTTCTATTTGATATATTATAAAAATCGAGTTTCAAACAAACAAGCAAAATGTTGGTACATTATTATACTCGTTTATACTTAGATATTTGAACTAATAACTACTTAACTATACTCGAAATTTTATTTAATTATCTAATAGATCAAAATATTCCGAATATAATATTTTGATATTAAAAAAGGAGTCAAAGGAGTAAAAAGTTTAAACATTTCAACGGAAAAAAAAAATAGTATGTACATGAAATCTTTCAAGAACGTTAGTGTTTTCCGAAACAACGAGTATATTACGTCAAATTGATCACCCCGTATAAATAATCTACCGATAGAAACCTACTTATTCTCCATCGCGTTACATAATACCCTATAGGTATATAATATAGTATATTGCCGTTATAGTCACGCGGCTCGCTTCAAATTGTTGGTATGGTAAGTGGGTATGGACGTATGGTGGTGGTGGTGGTGGAAATCGGGTGTAACTCGACGAGGGTATCGCCACCCCTAGCCTGGTACAGACTCCACGGCTGGCTTCTGTACAGTGTACGCATATAAAGTTAGGTAAGTATATGGTTGTTTTTCCCCAAACTCACAGCACCCCACACCGTCGCCGACGTCGCCAACGGCGATTTAATTAAAGTCAGCACAGGAAAATTATACCATTATCGTCGTGTATATAGTAGTATCATACTATACTTTATACAGACAATGATATTTAATTAAAAACATACACATATAAAATATATACATATTATATTATGTACGTACCGTGCTTGCGTTTAACGGATTATTATTCAATTTATACACACAATATTAAGTTGCTTATATCTTCTGTAGGTAACGAATATATGACAATTATATTTTTGAAAATTTGTTAATAGGTACAGAAAAATTCCCATTTATACCTTGCTTTATCTAAGAAATAATAAAGCAGTAATTGTAAGTGATAATATATCTGAAGACTTGTCGGTTCCCAATATTATGAATATTGATAACCTTGCTCTGACAACGATAATTTTACTCTCATTACATTTTACCTTTTTATTATTTTTCTATAATTTGATTAATCATTACATAATGGATTCAAAATGTTTGTTAAATATACAATTTCTTAACGAATCTCTAAATAATATTATAACTGCCTCAAATCGATAAAACATCTACATTTTTAAATCAGCACAACTATTATTGTGCTAAACAAAAACGTCTAAAAATTTTATGAACTTTTCAAGTTCAATTTTTTTTTGTATGTCCACATGAGAAACGTTATTATAACAACACAGATCTATAGAATTTCACAATTTATTCTTAGCTGACTTAGTAACATAACACCTCCATTAAAAATAGATGTTCTAGCTGTTCAGTTAATTAGATATATTTTATACTTTATACATAAGCGTTTTATTGTTAAAGATTTTAATTTTGTAATGTTAAACATAATAGTATAAAAAAATTATTAAATATAATAAATAATAATATCACATTATCACAAACATAATTTCATATTCGTATACCTATATTGCACTTTTATTTTATTAATTGTGGTATTATACTAATTAATGTATTATATTTTAGCTATAACTCAAGTTATATCTTGTGACATATTTTGAAAATTAGATTTTCATTTCTGTGATGATTGTATTATTATTTTATTGCAGGGTAATACAATACATACATTTTGAGATATCAGCAAGAAGTCTCGTTTTTGGGTGTAAAAATCTACAAGTTTTTGGTAGTATAGAGCTTCGACAAAGAATTTAATATCAAGTCAGCACACCATAATATAATAAATAATAATATGTTGTATTATAAGTTTAGTATGTTTAAATTTAATGAAACATTAGATTTATTTACGCTATACTATACACGTCATAATGTATCTAAGATTTAAAAAATAAAATGACACGTATTATAGCCTATAGGATACTTTGACACGTCTAAAATATCTCATATAAATTATAATAAAAATAACTCTTCAAAATTTATTTATTTTGGTTGACAATTGTTAGGTCAATCAATAAGCTCAAATTTAAATTTAATATAAATGGCTCTATTTTAATTGACTAAATAATTATCTCTAACTTAATTAGTTTAGGGAGGATAGGATCTAAAAACAAAAACCAGAAAAAGTTATTCTGCTTAATGATAATTTTATTATTTAAATACCAATTTAAAAAAAATAAACCATTTAGTAGTTAATCGGGCTTTAATTTACATTGTTACTAAATTTGAAAATGTCACTTATTTTTTTGTAATAAAACTGATTTGAACAGTACCTATTGTTTAAATATTTTTGACAGAGCAAATGTGCTGATGTAGTTATATTATATATTTATATCCTTTCAAAACTTTTAAATTTATATTAGAAGTAAATTTCTTCTTATATCGTTTCTTTTATGTTACTTTTAGTATTATAGGACAATTAATATTATTTATTTATAAATGTTGTTTACTTTATATTAATTTCAACATGGAAATTGTTAATAAAGTATCCTCACCGAATGCATATGATATAACACGCTATTACAATAAATACATCAATACATCAAATATCAACATATTGTGCTAAACATTATATCGACGCTTATCTCTCTTAATTTATATTGGCACAATACAATGTGCCACACTTCCATGATTTATTTATACCTGAAAAATAATTATTATCATAACACCGCATAATTTAAAAAAACAGTTCCATTGATTAAAACAAAAACTGCAATCGTCCAATAATTAGTATACTTAATATATTTACACGCTAATAAGCGAACATTATTTTTCCATTTTTTTGGGGACTGTGTATACATTTATTTTTTTCATGGGTACTTTGGTTCTCAAACAACACAATAGTTCAATACTACCTATATGGATATATTGTAGGTATACGACACGTACCTTGCAAAAGACCCAGCGCTGATTCTGGTCGTACTGTGGATGTCGGACCGCCATCTTTCTGAGGTCGATACTTCAGTAAATTGGTTTCACTCATACTGCCGGGTCGATTAGTAGCAAACTTATTGCCACTGTAACCATAGACCGAATTCAAAGCGTCCACGTTGGCGACATTCCGCGATGAAGAGAATGGCCTGTGTGCAAAAATTAGATATAATGGATTATTAGATGTATCTAATAGTTTATAGTATGAGTATCTAGCAGGTTGACAGTTAATTAAAAATACATCGCACGACGAATTGTTGTGTCCATTTATTCCGTATGCCATGATTCGTACATATTAAATAAGTAATAATATCTATGGGCTATAGAAAATGTCTTGCATAGAACCAAAAGTCCAAAAACAATGTGGCTTTACGCTAAAAGAAATTTTTAATTCCAGTACAACAGTATTCAAGGGGGATCTTGTATCGAAAGTTGAAAAAAATTTATGTAAAACTTGAATTTTTTATAAATGTTAAATTGCAAAATAATTTAAGACATTTCGAAATTTCGACTATTTTTGTCAACAAATGAACTTCAAAGTTTCAAGAGCTTCAAAAATTGGGACAAATATATTTTTCTATACTTTAAAATTTTTTTTATGGCTGTTTAGATAAGTTAGAAAGGACTGGCCTATAAATTAAAACAGCTTTTTGACTTGGAAAAAAGCGTATGAATATAAATCGAAAAAAAACTAATAAAAGTCAAAAACGTCAAGTTTATAAATAACTTAGAAAGAGCCCAAATATTTTTAAATTTATATCATGTCTAGAAAATATAAGTATAAATATTTGATCAACATGTCAAAGTAGGTACCTACGGTTGTTTATATTGGAATTACAACAGAATAACAAAATAACTGGCGTTGTTTAAATATTTTATTTATTTATTAGAATGAACGTCAAACGGCTTTTGGAACAATATAAACGAAATATTAAAGTTTAAAAATCTTATGATAAACAAAAGTAAGATATAAGAAAATAAATTGTAATTCATATACCTAACTAATTTCACAATTACTTTGGAATATTAAATATAACTAAAAATATAATGTGAGGTATTGAAGCTGGCCAGATTACGAAAAAATTAAACATTTAAATTGGCTATCGACATCATTCTGATCTTAGAAGAATTATTAAAAAAATTAGTTTGGTTAACTGGTAAGTAAAATAATCCCTTAAACCTGGTGCTACAAGGAACTTAAATATCGAGTAATTTTAAAAAACCGGGTGCATCAATATTTCCTTTAATAAACCCATTAATAAAACGACAACATACAAATTTGTATTTAGTATTATTCTAATAGATTAAATATGACCATATTGACATATTCTATATTTACTTTGTATTTATTTTCAGTAGAACAGAAGAAAATAAATAAATGAAATTCAAAAAACAAAAGTACCCATGTATACTTTAGGGTATAATATAATACTAACGTCAAACAATGTTGAAACATTTAACTTTTTAAAAATTATTTCTTATATACCTAAATGTAGAATGTAAAAGAATTTAATGTTTATATTATGTTTTAATTCGAACGGCATGGCATATGAAGCTGATATAAACGTTATAAAATATATTTTTACATTCATTGCCAGGTTCCCAACAACTGCATTTTAATTGTTTATTTTAATTTAGTACGTATGCAATATTATATAAGAATATGAATTAGTTGGTTAACTTTAAATTTGTCTTCTTGAGAAAGCTCTATTTAATTAACATTTTTGAAATGTTTGAATGTTTGTTGTCTACCTATGTTAAAACGAATTAAAAGTGAAAACATGTAACAGTTAATCAAGGGACAGTTGTAAGATTAAAGTGCAAACATATGGCAACATGATCTCAATCTAAAAGGTGTTAGATATTTATGTTACAATAGTTTGAAGTCAAATGATATCATAATTTTATTTCCTACTAATAATTCAAGTAATAAATCCCAATAAGTCACCTTTCCAGTTTAATGTGATATAACACATTCATATTTATTGGAATTTAAATGAATCATTTTTATTTATTAACAAGTTAAAAATAAACTGCTATGACGTTATGTATTATTTATAATTTTGTTATTAACGTTTAGTTGATAAATGTTTATTGTTGTATTTGTTGTGACAAAAGTGTAATTTAAATAATACAATTTAAGTACCTAATTTAAGAACACATTTGTTACATTTGTCCCTTTAACCTGTACTTGGTATGTTCAATATTGTAATATTTTTCTTTTAAATTCACATTTGCTTAACAACATATAAAAATTGTATCACTTTATATCATACAAAGTGCATAGATAAATTTAATATGGTAGGTGCTTATCTGTTTAAAAATGCAACCAAACAAGAAAATGTTTTATCCTAATGGAATAAAGAATTGTATAAACATTGTTACGGTCGTCAAGAGTCTCTAAGTTCAATAATTTATGATTTAAAAAATCGAAGAGGAGGATGAGTAACATAATCTATGAAGTACTACTTCAATTAAAAATGTGTGACTTACGCTGACACTCAAAACAAGCGCAATACTACATGCCACACGTTAGGCATTTCGACAGTACCTACTATAGCACTACGCACTAGTGCGAGGAAACTCCTATCGGTAGACAAATGTTAACTCAATACTTGCATAGCGATAGCAGGTACTACGCATAGAACCTCTTAATGGATTGTGAGAAAATTGTGGCAAGTATATCTCATAGTTATCTCACTATCTCAGTACTGGTAAACTACAAGTTGAATACGACATACAAGTAGGTTACTACTTGTTCCTACAACATTAGCTCAATCTGGCACATTCTACGGAATCCGAATTAACTACGAACAAGGGTTAATCCGTATCCTTCAGTTTAAACATTTATAAATTACCAGAGCAGACAAATAAAAGTTTTGACCCTGTTTTATTGTTAATGTAATAAATTGAATAATTAATCATTGCATTGAATCATATACATTTTGAAATGTTACTGCATTATATGCATTTAAAGCAGATATTATACTTGTAGATTTATTTTAGAAATACTTTTGTAGTTTTGTGTAAGAGACTAAACAAATATTTAACTATACAAATTAAAGTAAATAGATTTAAAAGTAAGTACCTAAACTTATATTTCATTATATTTTTACCAGCAACACAATTTAAGCAGGAAATTTAAATACACATAAAGAAAAAATTGTACTCAAATCATTTTCTTGATGGTTTAGTTGAATAGGTAGTACACTACATCATTAAAATGTTAACAAATAACATGAAATGAGTTTAAAAATTGCATTATCTATTTTTTTTTTAAAACTCAACTACTTATTATAATTATTATATTAAAGTAATAAAAAGAGTAAATAATTTGAGTAAAGGTTCTTATACATCATCTTCTTTATTTTCTTTATCTTTCCTATCCATGAAAAAATCGAATTATTTTTTTTACACTTTATATGAGTGCCCTGTATTACCTCATGTTTTAAATGTTTTTTTAAAAGCAGTTCAAATATTTATTTTTATTTAATTTATTTAATTAATTTTTTTTTTTGAACTTTAATTTTGAAATAAAAGTAAATACCTATAAACTATCTGTACATATTTTGTACAATTAGGTTAAATTACATGAAGGCCGAAGGATAACAGAAATGCTTGATATGACAAGCCGCATACTGACGACATTCTTGGAATACATAATTTAATTTTATTCATAAGTTTTTAACTAAAGTAACTGTTAATATATAATATACTTATGTTTGTTTTAAAGTATTTATTAGCTATATAAAAATGCAATTATAATATAATTAAAACTTTTATAATGCTATTTTATTTCTGTTTTTTCAGTTATCTCTATAAAGTACGTTTTGCAATAAAACGCATATTATATACCTACCTAATAATTTTCATAACATCCACCTTATATTCATCACAATTCACAACTAACAAATGACAATGATTCTTTAACGTGTGCTTTTAGCTTGGTTTATTCTACCATTTGAAATTTAAAAAAAAAATACAAAATTACATTTTTTTTTCAAAACTTTACAGACAAGACATTTTATCTGCTTGATGCAATAGCAATTGAAGTTCAGAACGGATATGATTTTAAGGCAATTATAAATCGTTGATATGTAGGTACTTACATAGCAATATTTGAATTTAATAGGAAGACATATTCAAACGGATAAATTATGGTACCTATATAATATTATAACCTGAAGATCGTTTATACTACCATAATCATACAGTATGATTCACCAAGCATGCTCACCTCCATTTTTTCCCTCTAATAATGAATTTATATAAATTCAAATTTTTGAATTTTAAAAAATACTCGATCACCATATTTTAAAATTCTTGAGATTTTTAGAACATTTAACGAATACCCTGTGGTGATACAAGTTTCTTTTTTCAAAATGAGAACCATCACATCCCTTTTTTACTGAACATTATTAAAAGGATAATTTTTTTGAAAATGTTGATGAAAGCACCTAATTCAAAATATGAAGTAGTTTATCCCAGCTATTAAAATGCTTATAGTAAGGATTATAGTCCTTAAAATTAGTCTTACAAAAATATAAAATATATGTTAGATTCGAATTAATAGATATATTAATATTAAGTACCAAATTTTTCAAACCACCATAGGCCCCATTTCTTCCAAGAATTGTTCTTCCTTATTCTTAGTGCACAAAGTAAAGTAACTTAAATAGTACTCGTTCGAATTTTGATTTTAATGCGTCAACATTTTCAATAAAATGATCAGGTAAATAATTTACAGTAGAAAACTCAGGTTCTCATTTACAACACAGAAGTCGTTATCTCCGCGGGACACCCTTCAACTAGATGAATAAATATCTGAAGAATTTAAAAATATGGTTGTAAATACATTTGAAAACTCTTAATATCAGATTTTGAATAACTGCTTTATAAAATAAGAAAAAAGTGGGTGATCATGCTCGGTTAATCGCCCTGTATTATTTTACATTATATAGTTAGGTAGAAAACCTTTTCTCACAATGCAGTCGAAACAGATATAATTGGTGACACATTATAGACAGTTAAGATCGTTCGACTATTAGAGGTTGCCCGCTGCACGACGACACCGGGAACTTACTTAAACTTATCCATCATGGCCCGCATCATGCGCTCGCGGCGCTTAGCGTTTGCTGCCGCTGGCCACTGTACGCCAGCTATCTCCAGGTCAGGTGGCGGTAAGTCGGGCAACCGACGTCGACCGTCCCGACCGTTGCTACCCCGCAAAGAAGACGAGCGCATCGAGTCTGGTTCGCTGAGGGTGTCCGACGGCGAGGCCGTCAAATCTCTGAGACCAAGCCCGCCGCCACTGATCAGTAGGGCGCCCCTGGGAGTGCTGACCGGCGTGTTTTGTTGCGGCGGTGTAGCTAATAGAACACACAAATATTGTGTCAATTATTAAGTACACAAAACATGAGTACCTAATGTTATATCTATAAATTATACGGTTATAAAGTGTTCTAAAGGATATTAAATTCATTAAAAACCGATTTGTTGTTACGGATCTCTTAATTTGCCAAAAGAATAAATAAAGCTTGAAAATAAAGCTTGTATAGATGGTAAAGTTATTTTTTCTTTTGTTTTAGTTCCAGTCATTATTATTTTCAACATTTTTCGGTTATTTGATCGTTTATTTTACGAAACTCTCTTTTATCGTCTTATAAGTTATTAACGAAGACTCGTCTTTTATACTCACTTTTTAATTAAAGTTTAAGTTAAGTGGATTATAAGTGTATAATGTATATTGTTATTACTATTATTACAAACTTTGTTTAAAAAGTTTTAAATGTTTCAAACGAATAATATTATTAGTAGTACGTTCTCATTAAGTATGCATTATTTTATATAGTAGGTTATACGAGTATATGTATATTAGAGTAGTTAAAAACGACTTCGATTTAATTTCTTACATTTTATTAAGCTCTGATTTCCATAAATTCGTTGTATAAATTATAGATTTACACCATTATATGACTAAATCGGGAAGGTACCTAGTTAATTGATTAATTAATCACGTGTTCACCTATGTAGAATTGTAGACCTACAGCAGTATTTAAATGAATTTTATGAACATCACATTACCATTGATGGAAAGTCTTAGATTATTTTTTTTAGTTTTGAGGGATTTAGTGTTAACATTTTGTAACATTGAAGTTAACAGCTCAAATAATCGGTGCAACTTACCGTGCAAAGTCGATGTCTGTGACGAGGTTTGTTGCTGTCCGACTGTCTGATATTTAAGCGCCGCCGACGCGCCAGTCAAAGCTTTGACACCAGTCTGCTGCTGGTCCGCTGTGGCTGAAGACGAATTTAGTAGTACCGTTACTCTGGCCGTATTCGTTCCACTGACAGACGTTAAAGTACTGTTCTGCAGCTGCTGCTGTTGCTGCAACTGATTTTGTGGCTGTTGTTGTTGCTGTTGCAGTTGCTGTTGTTGCTGGTAGTTGTTGCCATTGATATAATGCTGTTGATGCTGCAGTGAAATAGCCGTCGGATCGTCACAACGCTATAACATCACAAATCACAAATTATTTTCTTGATCAATTTTAGTTAAATAATGTATACGTGAACTTGACGACTTAGTCTGCTGTTTCAACTGAAGCACCAATTATCATAATATTAATTTATTCATTATCAAGACTTTAGCATATTCTATTTTTTATAGAGGCACTGTAAAAAATATATTTCTATGATTATAATTAACTTAACTCGGTAAAATAAAGAACGCATAAATACATAAAATAATGGTTTTTGTCTGACACCATGGTTGAGTGAAAAACATGCTTAATAACAACTATTTAAAAAAAGACTTAACTTTGCATAATATTTATTTACACATACGAGAAATTTAAATAATGTATACCAATAGCGTTTTATTTAAGACTACTAAGCAATATTTTTACTATAAATTTAAATCTGAGTAAGTTTTTTTTTTAATGATTAGAATACATACATTTTTTTCTTATATAGACATAAATGATTATATAAGAGGGTGGCCTGTAATATTATCATCGACCCAGATAAATAATAGCGAATGTACTACTAATTGAGCCGGAAAAGTCCACGTACACCTACATACATTCACTTAACAAGTACTTACTTGACCCTGTTGTTGCTGCAGAGGTCTAAACGCTGTAGAACTAAGTTCCGCCGCCGTCCCATCGTATTTTATACCACCCGAAGTAATTGGTGCTCCGCTAAGTGTTAAAGCAGACACATTCTGACCAGAGTTGATGTCCACCCTATTTTGTTGCTGTTGATGTTGTACTTGTTGATCGATGCCGTATTGATGAAGATTATCGGTGACATTCGACGGCAACTGTTGTTGATCTTGATTCGGAAACCTCTGATATTGCTGTAGCTGACTAGACTGGTATTGTTGGTTCTGCTGTTGTTGATACTGCTGTTGTGGTTGTTGTTGCGATTGTTGTTGTTGTTGTGATTGATTGTATTGCTGCTGCTGCTGCTGCTGGTTCGGCTGTTGCTGTTGTTGCATTTGATTGTATGGGAGTTGTTGATGTGGCTGATGTTGAGGTTGCTGTTGCTGTTGCTGATATGTGCCGTATTCCGGTTGATAAGGCTGGTATAAGGCTTCTTGCTGTTGTTGATATGTCTGTTGTTGGCAGTTGAATAGAGCGCCGCCACTGTCTCCTCGTTTGTTAAAGAACAATTGTTGTTGTTTCGCGGCTGCATTTCCGGTGCCAATCGGTGACGACGAATAATTTGTTTCGGTCAGCAAAGTATTCGCTGCAGTGCCGATGCCGGCGGCCGTGTACTGCTGTTGTCGCAGCTGTGAAGCGGCGGCGATAGTCTGTTGCTGTTGCTGAGCCTGTCTCGCGATGATGCTCGAAGGTCCGGTTCCGACACCACCGGTTCCGTATAACAAGCCGTCTTCCGTCGGTCCGTAAGCGTTGTTGGCGGTTTGCTGCTGCTGCTGCTGCTGCTGCTGCTGCAGTTGAGCGACGGAAGTGTCACCGTACTGCTGTTGCTGTACCGGCTGTTGCTGCTGGAGAGGCGGCGACGAACCTGTACAGTACAGCTGGTACTGTTGGTCGCGCAGATTTTGACTGATGATCGATTGGGTACGTCGCAATTGCGTCGTCGTACCAGAGGACGTCGAAAACCCGTCACCGAAACCATGCTGTTGATACTGTTGCTGCTGCTGTTGCTGTTGCTGTGGCTGTTGCGTCTGTTGTTGATATTGTTGTTTTTGGGCGTTTTCACCCAACATGGAATCATATTTGTTGTTGTTTTCGCTGAACTTGTCGCTACCGTTATACAATGGAGTAGCCGTCGTCGCCGTCGATCCACTGCCGTTCATGTTGGCTAAAAAAATTAATGTAATTTAGTACAAAGAAAAAAAATAATATGAACGATGCACCTTTTGCGATTTTTCGGCAGAAGCTAAAAATCAAAGATACAGAATACGATGTCGGTTCACGTACAGTGGTTGTAAAATTATACATGGTAACTAGCATAGTTACTAATTTAATTTACCAGGGGGAAAAATAAACAAGCATAAAATACGGCACTATATCTGTGTATTTCGGTTTTAGTGTAGGTACTTCAATTCACGAGCAAATTTGTGTTGCGGTGGAATTCGCTTTGTCAACTAATTCCACCGACATGGAATATCCACCCTCGGCTGATATTGACTTCGGTACAATTTCTAAGGTGGTACAAACTATTATCAAAGATTTCTGGTATTTCTGAGGAAATTCGTTGGAAGTTTCGCCAACATCGGTTTTTGAGCACATATTAGCTACAAACATAAGGATATTGCCTTTTGTTGTAAATTCGAATAACAAACAGTATATTAAATTCTATATCATTTTATTTCTGTAACCTTTGGTCACCCTATATAGAAAGAACATATTATTCGGTTTTCGTGATCCAAAATGAAATTCATGTGTGAGCCATCCTATAGCAACCTAAATAGAATACCATTTCCTACTCTTACTCGTGAATATTGTACTACGTCTTTATTATATTATGCATGTTTTTCAATTTGAAGATCCGGACTTCCATTTATCTCTAATTTAGACTTCGAGCACCATATAAAATATAAATGATACAGATAGTAAAACTCCATTGGTACTTGGCTTTATCGTGCGTAATACGAAAACATTCAGTTCACCAGTCTACCTCCATACTCTGTATTTGACGTTAGATCACTGAATACAGGAATAAGGTGTGGTAATTTGGCTTCCGTATCTTGCTGAAGACCAATTAAGGCTTAAATGTATACAAAATCGATTCATTTCGCACTCAGCCTATATTTTCAAAATTGAGCACATCATTATGATTATTTCTTGCAACGTAGGTTGAATGTCCCTTCACTTTTCTCACGTCGTCACAAGGTCATCTGATTTCTTTCCTTTTTTTGATTATGGTGCCAAGAACACACCTGATCTATGTTTCATAATTAATTACCATGTACCTTCATATTTCTCTTGAAGTCAATCACCCTATCCTGTTCCATCTCATTCCACTTCCATTGATCGTAACCATCCAATACAACGAAAACTTTGTACCATTATTAATAATGACTCTATGGTGACTATATTAGCCTACAATATTATATAAATACTATTCTCCTCCATGTGTCTACCCATTCCATCATTATTATAAACCATATCAAAATTGTTACTATCCAACAACAAATACTACTTGTAATTACTATCAGTTATTTATATGTTAAATTAAATGAAAACTAAACTAAAAACAACCTCTGAGTCTCGATGAGTTTATGATATAACTTTAATTAAAACCGACTAAGTAGTTTAGTGAAATGATAAAAGAGGGAAAGTAGGTATCGAACAATAGAAAGTTGAGTATATTTATCAATTAAGAACGCATTGTGATGGATTTGTTAAATTTGAGTAAAAAATTGTTACAATGAAAAAACGGTTCTGAGTGAAGTCGATCCAACTTTTTGGTTATAAAAGTTACCAAACAGTTATTTTAATAACTCATATTTAAATTAAATACTGAGAACTATTATTGTGAATTCCCAAAAGTACCAACTTGATCCAATTGTCTATAAGAAACTTCCATCGAAGTTGATGATCAAAGCATTTTTTTCTACTAGAAAAGTGTCAAAGAATTTTAATTATTGATTTGAGTCATAGATATTGTTAATTCATTCATTATTTTACTATAAAACTTGGACCATCCAAAGTTCGGGAAACTAATGAATTGTTTAGTTTTAACTATAATATCTGGACTACATTGAATTTATTAGTCTACAAGGTTAAAGGTTTAATAAACTTAAATCAGAAATTCAATTATTCATAACTAAAATTTTTAAAAGTTTAAAAATGTATTAGTATTTTATTTATTAAGAGTTATTTTTTGATTTTCCTATCAATTTATCTGAACGGTAGGACATATTTCCAAAACGTTAAAATGGTAAGAATAGAAATTGACAAATAATAAGTAAGAATTAACTGTATTAATTTGATTACAACTTAAGAAATATAAATTATCACTGATCATTTTGTTAAGTACTGTACGTATGCATGTGAAGTAATTTACAATATTTATTTTATATACTTGCGTCTTGCACCATAGTGATACAATTTCGGCTCACAATAATTGTTTTTTAATGACATAATATACAATTTTTTTTTTATAGCACACTACTATACTCTACGTTAGGGTAAGCAAAATAAGTATCTGGATCGGCATTTTTATTTTTTAATATTCAGTACGGCGTAATGTATATGCAATATAGGTACATTGCGGAGAGCGACGTTTTAATCTATCTATTTCTGCCGCTCTTCGTATATTATATATTTTTTTTGTATTAAAATATATTTTGCTTAACAATGCAATTATTAAAATTACTGATTTGACAAGAATGTCAAGTAGATTTGAGTTAAACATGGGGCCGGAAGACCATTCAATGGTCGTGTCGCGCCCAATCCACTTGACAGGATATTTATGGGTTCACGATCTAGAAATATCTGACCTATATAAAGTAATTTATTACATAGTAGAACCATTTGATTGGATACCTACATATAATTATTTCAATGGTACATTGTGTTTTGTTTTTTAATTTATTGGTGTTAATTATTAATTGTTAAATGGGGGGTATCATAAAAAAAAAGGTAAATTACTTTTCACCAGATAGATAGCAATGTAGCATTGAAAAAAAGTACCGAATTATATCTAAGATTTCTGCTATTAACACTTTTATCTGTTAACTAAAATATATAAAACTTATTAAGCGCAGCCATTGTTTTAAATTATTGATAGCTTAAAGATTATATCTAATCAAGTTATTTTAATTAAAATCATCAGTTATGTATGAGTACTAGTTGTCGCTGGTTAAGACGTAATGAACTAAAATATAGAGATGCCTCAAATACCTACTCTATAATGAACATTTTTATAGAGCTCACTCTAGTGAGACCAAATTTTTGATGATAATACATTTAATTCACCGAAATTCACATCCTTCATTCTATGGCAGTAGAAAATATTAAAAATTACATAGGATAAACTTTGTAATATAATTCATAAATATCTAACACATATATAAGTGCACATAGGTTACAATATAATACTATCTTTATCTCAAATATTCAAAGAGTTTTTTTTTACCGAATCCTGCTTTTATACGATAGTGATGTTAACCTTATGACTTGTTACTGAATGTTCATATTGCAAAATATTTTTGTAAAGAAAAATTCTGATTTATTTGTTCTAAAGCGTTAAAAAGAGATTTATAATTTATTATATACGAGCGGAATGGCGTAGGTGCACCATCAAAATACGCCAGGTAGTGTTTATAGTGTTTTTATTTAAAAATTCAAGTGATGAATTTTAAGCGTTTGCTTTTACCTATAGACCGGCTAAAGTCGGCCAACATTCCGCTGATCGTGCCGCTGCTGTCGTTGTCGGACGCCGCTGCCGCGGCCACCTGCTGAGCTGCAGGTTGTATTGCATAATTGTGTCGCTGAGTCTGTTGCTGCTGTTGCTGCTCCAACAACTCGTCCTCGTCGTCCTCGTCGTCGTACTGTAAAAAATACGAGCAAGTGAAAATTAATATGACAGCTTAATTGGCCAAGAATAAAGTATTAAATACCTAATAGTATATAATTTACCGCCTACGAATCGTTTAAATACCACACGCTTGAAAAATAAATCATCTACTTAAAGTCTACTAATATTATGGTTTTCCACAGTCTAAATAAAAATTTAACATTAAATACCATAATATTTGCTTACTACGTTGCATATTAATATAATTTAATATTATTCACGACTGCAGCAGGCTAGTCAAAGAATATAATATAATAATATATCAAAATGTTATTATATTATATTATTACATTCAATGAAATTGGTTTCGTTGAAATACCTAATCGTGATAAATCAAGTCCAACATTATTATTATATTATGCATTAAAAGCGTTTGTTTAATATTACCTATATAAAACGTCATCATAATACGAGCGCTCTCACGCGCCAGCGACGTTAATAGTATAGTATAATTATTAGTAATTACACATATCAAAATTAAATACAATACACCTACCTAATTATATTATGGGATAACAACACATTAATAAACAATATAATATGTTAAAATAATATTATAAGTTTACTGGTGCAGTGGAATACCTATGTAAAGAATACTGCAAGGTGCTAGGTACATTATTATAAAGGTTCTATACGTTCGCTGGCACTATATTCGTTTCAATACACGCTTTACGCTATATATATATACAAGGATGATAATATTAATTACAATATAGTATATAATAATATAACAGTACTAATATAGAGATAATTAATACGGCTAAATCGATAATAATAATATTTATTATAAACCACTGCTAAGTGCTAAATTCCACTAATAGATAGCTATGTAAAGATTGAGGCGTTGATGACTTTTCCATTATTTAATAGATTTTTTTTGTTTTTAACTTGATTTTTTGTAATTTTATACTTCAAAGAAAATGTTTTATATTATTATTAGTATTATTATTAAAGGTTTGTCCTGGTATTATTGGTTTAAAGATACACACAGGTATAAGAAGATTTTTTGTAAACATATTATTTGCTTGTATAGAATATTATATTTTTATATTTTTAATATATTCAACCGTACAATTCCAATGAGTCAATATTGATATAAACGTCGGTCTTATTTAAAAATAAATGTAGTTGGTCATTTTAGATTCGATGAGTGTATTGATTTTACAATGATGGGTGTTTATTTGTGTCTGTTGACTGTCATCGCCTTTTGGTGAAGTAAAAATTGATTTGATTTTTTATTTGAGCATTTATTGTGGTAGAAAATGAATCTAGTTGGTACTTTAATGGGTCAGAAGTAAAAAGTTCTCAGTAGCTTTCAAAATCGCTAGGAAAAACAAAGGAAAAATTAGGATTTAAACGCAAAACCAATATTTGAAAAACAAATATTCTTTGGCGTAACTAGGTTTTTTTGTTTAGACATTTGAAGTTCAAATTTGGAAGAAACTAGATATTTAAACGGAGAATACCGGTACCGTTTTAGTTACTTTATGGTAATAAAAAATATTATTTGTGGGTACATAAAACTTTTAAGTACCTATATAATTAAATTTTGTACACAACATAAAATTAAAAAAAAATTAATTTTACCCACTGTAGCACTGATGCCTGATAGACTATAAAAAAAATAATTACTTTCATCACAATAATACCATAACATATTCTTAGAAATATTTCAGGCTGACAGACAGTCTTCGCTTAGAATCGTTTTTGTAAACAATGATTTTATATCATTGCAATAAAATTTAACTCATCCATTACCTCTCTAGACTCTTACTGTACAGCAAATCGACTTCAATGGCTTTTTTTTTAGTTGTTATCAATTTTTAAATATTTTTTTTAATGTTATTTGTGGTACTCTTTGTAGATCATCAACATCTTATATTATCTCTACTAGTATACATATAATATATTATTTAAATTGTTTATACATACGCATACCTCTACACCACGTAAAAAGTCTACGTCCATGTACAGCAGCGGCGCAACTATATGTAAGAGGGATGAGGGTGGTAAATGGCTATAATAACGACCCCTAGTCCGAACGTATTTTACGTTTTTTAGAAAACGTCGAAACACAGCGTGCTTATAGATGATGATGACGTCAACGAAGAATAAAACGATGACGATGATGATGATTGATAACGTTTTTTTTTTAAATTTTAAAGCCCAACCCCATATTATACCTACCTATATATAGTTGCGTCCGTGCAGTGAACAGTTACACTATATTATTACGTCTACATCCTACGTGTTTATATATATACTTTATTAAATTGAACCAATATAATATTATTTATATACAGCTAGATTTACACCGTATACATGTATTATAAATTGTAGACTTTCTAAATCGATCGTCAACGCATTGTCGGCGGTCCACGACGATTAATAACATAATAATATATTATTATTATGTGTTTTATACTATGTAAAAAATATCTATAATCTATATAATATAATACCATTTATGTATATGCCAAGTGCTTGGCACACTACCTACTTACTACATAATATACATATATATTATATGCGTATATACGGCATACTAATATATTAGTACTATTATACGCCATAATATAACATCATAATATTATATAATAATAATAATATCGTGTAAACAATAATAATAATATGCCATCTCACCTTGTCGTAACATACACTACGCGGATAGGTAATACATTATAATATACATAAATAATACCGCATCGTAAACATTATATCATTGCACAACGATATTTAGTTAGGAAATTTAAATTATATACCACTATGACTATAATAGGTATACCTAGGTACTACAAATTCACAATAATGTATAACATAAAATATGATAGTAAATACTTGAATAATATACATCTATTAGTTATTACATTATGTCTTATATATATTATAATCAATTACTTTTTATCTACACTATTATATAGTCGGTATCTACAGTACAATATAAATTATATACGTATATGGGACACAAGTACCGTATCCAATCTAATTGCTATATGTATTATGATATACCTATGGTTTAAGGTGGTAATGTGAATAAAATAAACATGTGCGCACTCAGTGGTGGCTCAAAATTAGAAGGTTTACCGACAAATTATCAAATTTCACCCATTTATACCTCGTGCTTAAATAGGTATCTAGTTACAATATTGCATAAGCTGTAACGAAAAACCAATTAAACCCATTTTTTCTAAGCCATCATAGACGTACATATATAGGTGGACCTGTAAGTTTTATCACATTTTATGAAAAAAAAACCTATTTTTAAAGAGTAATTTTTCATAAATTACTGGATTGTACAAAGTACGGGCATAGAGAATTTATCATATAACTTTATACACTCATAGCATTGAAAGAGATATTTGAGTGAATGAATTTACAGAAAACTTGTTCAACTAAAATTATTATAACTGTTTAAGTTTTCTTTTATTGATTTCTAATAAATAGTAATAACATTATTTACCCGTATTATTAATTTAATAAAATGTATTTTCTAATTAAATTAGTACGAGGTATATGAGGGGCTCTCGCGAATCCGTGTGATTATTTACACCTAATGTGTGCCCAAATGATACACGGCCACCATGGAATAACCACCACTATGCGGACTTGTTTATCAGATAATAAATAATTATAATATTAATAATAAAACTCAAATTAGATACATTATGATATTACTGTAATAACAGTCTTGCGCTCAAGCAACACTACACTATAAAAAATACCTATCAGAGGCGCAAATAAGAAATTAAATCAATGAGGGCTTGAGCATTATACATTTTAAATGGAAAACGGCCATATGCAAGCATTTCTTCATTTTCAATAAACTATAAAATAAGATATTATAATGTGGATACATAAGTTACTTTTTTAAAAAAAAAGACCACAGTTAGCTCATTAAATTTTTCTAAAACTTTTCATTTTTAACCACCGTTTTGGAACCACAGTTAATTTAACCCCAAAAATGTTTGAGATTTTCCCACAAATTCGTGAATGTTCACATAAGTGAACAATGATCAATTATTGGATGATAAACGATAATAACAGTATAAAAATAATAAATACATCTGAAATACGACCAGTCTATACCACCTTCTCCCCTTCCACGGGTAAAAAAAAGCCCTAACCTATTTGCGCCTATGCTACATATCATACAGGTATCATTACATATCTATACGGCGCTATAATATAATAAAAGAATTTTTGCACCGATAACGACGGCTATCTAAATAATACATATATTTATAAAAATGATTCAAGTATAAATAATAGTCCAAAAGTGCCAGTTGGTCATCATCGCCGTCGTTGTCGTCGTCTTCGTCATCGTCGTCGATACGTATGATATTATATCGCCAATGCGTTTCCTGCAATACTACCATCTAGTGAATTGTTTAGGAGGAAGGCGGTGGAGAGGTTTAAAGGAGGGGGAGGGCAGATTCCACAAGTAGCATGTAAGTAGATTTGTAGGTGCGTCAAATGTGGCCCGTTACCCTATTGAAGCATAGCATCATGTTATGCATAGCATGTTTTCTGTTTTATCAAATTATAAAAGCTGTACAATGTGCAAGGCTTTATCGATATCGAAAAACGTGGTAATCATTCAATAAAAAATAACTCGCTGACGATTGCTGCTTAGTCTCAAGTATACAACCGAACACAGAAAAAGTAATTGAGAAAAAATTATGTCAAATATCTCACCAAAATAAAATGAATAATTTGTTGTTTAAAATGTAAAACAGTGTTACTGCTGTATGTTGTAATAATAATAAATCAATAATTTTTAATTTTTAAATTCAACAATATTATATCAAATTATGTTATAATAATAAAAACAGACTTTTTGTTTATAATACATTTTTTTATTGCGAATGTGGTCCACTGCTTAAAAAGGTCAAAGACCTCTGACCTAGTTAGTTACTTATACTTATTTTAGTACACTGTGGTCCATAAAATAAATATTATCGCTGAGTTAGTGCAAGAGAAGCCTAGCCCAATTGACTGAAAGACGTAATTTCGTCAGACGCACAAATGGGTTTCTTTTAAAACGAGTGGAAAGCGAATGCAATTAAATAGGGCACGGTGTCGAGGGGAAAGAGACGAGGAAAAATATATTTATTTTTGTTTTTGCGATTGGTACAAAATGGGTGTATAAATGTATAATAAGGGTGGCATTTTCAAACCTACTCAAAGGCTACACTTATTATTATTCCACAGTACGGCTACCATCACTACTCGGTGGTGATAAGGTGCACTGACACTATATAAATATAATATAATAAACTACTTCAGGCTCTATTGTAAGGGGCAGTAGGTCATTAATAATTGTGCAGTAACAAATATAAAATGTACTGTTGACTCAACAAATAATTGTACACTTGAGAAATATATGATGTATATTAAGACTCACTATGACGAGTATATTAGCAACAATGCATGTAAAAAAAACCATGTTAGTCACACCGATGATCGAATATCGAATTGTGTATGGTTATTGCACCATTTTTAATATATTTTCTTGTAATATACAAGACTTGAACAATAAAAATAAAATTTTTGTTTTATTTCAACAACAGTAATTTCAATATAAAAAAAGGAAATGTTTTATTGTAGGTACCTATTTGAGGAGTTGGAAAAAAAAGGAATTGTATATTTGTTACACCCACTGATAGAGTGTTATGAAGGGGTTTTTTCTTTATATTTTGGGCAAAAAACCTGATTTTGTCCCGTTGCAAAAGGCTCTTCAGTTACAGTAGGTATAACCCACCCAGTTTATCTAAAACCTATTTGCTCATAGCTCGAAAATGAAAATAGAGTATACCTATGTCTTATAATATATTATATAGTTTACAATAGTGCGTAGGTATTTTTAGTTTAGTTTAAATAATGAAGCATACATTAATGGTTTGGGGGTGTAGGGTTGAGTCACTTTAAAGTAAATACTATTATTTTGTGTGGTTGAATACAATGCTTACAATAAAACCCGAAATTTCTAATGTACTCCCATCGGCGCCACCGCCGTCATCACCATCGATTACTTGCGCCGGTACACTTATAATAATGGCAAAGAGGAGGAGGACGACGACGACGACGACAACGACGATTGCCGCGATAGACCCTTACGCGAAAGTTCGTCCGACTACGGTTCGAGTTTTGTACGTTCCCAAACGTATTATTGCTGCTGTTCGACGCCGCCTGCCGGTTCTGTTGCGAAGACGACAGCGCACGGCCCAGCATGCTGTTGTACTGTTGCTGTTGCTGTTGCTGGTTTTGGTGCTGCTGGTTCTTGTGCTGCTGTTGCTTGAGTTGACGCTGCATGTGCTGTTGCTGCTGCTGCTGGTGATGCTGGTGCTGCTGGTGCTGGTTCCGGTTTGTCTGCTGCACCGTCTTATTGGACTTCGACTCGTGATGACTGACCGCGCGAATCGGTTGATTCAACAATTTGCATATTCGATCGTATTCCGGCGTTTTTTCCAACTATATTCAAGAGTGAAATCGTCGTAGGTACAACAACAATAACAAAATAGGTACACTTCTTAGCTCTTGGTTGATGATATTTTATATAGGTACCTAGGTACTAGTTATTATACCGGTGATGTGTTGCCGAAAATATTCGTGGGTATATACTACGCGTTTTTCGCGTATTTAGTGACAATGTTAATTATAAATATAGAAAAAAAACATAACAAAGTTTTAAAAAAAATGGTTCGCTCATTCCCTCCTGACCATAATATTGTTACGCGAATCGGGTATAAGAAATTTGTAGGTACACGTATGACCGTACACATGATTTTACAAGATAAATAATTGTAATTATCTGATACTGAAAAACGTTCTTAAAAATGTGTAACTACTCATTATTATTTTATAATGGTATGAGCTCAATATTATATTACTATGTATTCTAGGGTTACAGTTTTTTTGGTATAACAGTGTTATATCAGTTTACCGATTTACCGGCTATTGCTCAAATACCTCTTGAACAATATACCGTATTACCGAGTTACCTACACACCGTTTTTAATACCGAAGTATAATAATGCCCTCAACTTTGTGGGTTAACTCGGTTCACTGTTTTTTCTGTATACCCGTTCTCATCAACTCCATCAAGACATTTGGTATTTCAGTATAGGCAACGGTTTTTTAGTATGTGTTCGTATAACGATTTTTCCGATATGTAACGATATTAAGGTAGGTATACCGTTTCGTACTCGTATCTGATTGCAATACCGTCAATATCAATAAACACTCACGTCTCACACACACTCACACACATATAGGTACATCTTATTATTATTATATATTTACTTATTATGAGAATAACGAATTAAAAATATACTTGGTCATAAAATATCAGGTACTATTGTTCGTCATTGGTTTTAAAAATATTTCTCGATGAACGCCTGTTAATATATTCTATTCTAAATACCATCTGAGAATTGAAAATTGTGAATAATAATATTGTAGAACATAATTTTGTGTCACTGAAAGTTCAACGGTGTATTCGGCATTACTTACGCAAACACAATATTTGTTTATTTTGTTTATCTGCCCCACCAAAAGTGTATTATATTATTATTATTATTATAATAAATATTATTATACTGCGGTATGAATAGCATAAGTCGCGTATGATTGTATTTGTTTTCGTGGCCTTTCTGGGAAATAAATTTAAAATAAATAGAAAACCGAAGGGCTTCGTCGCTCGAACAATTTCATCATCGCTATGAATTCTTTTAGGGTCTTTCGTCGTATAGCTACTACAGGAATGGTATACAATATTGACACCCTATGGGATAATCTTTTAAGACGACCTTTAAACCCCTCCGACTTTTGTTACTATATCTCCATATTTGCATTGTAAATATTAAATGTGTGCTAGAAATGTACATAGATTATGGCTCATGAATATTTCAAAACACTCAAATTACTTATCTAACATTAAATGTTGAATAATAACTTCATAAATAGTAATAAATGCAGGTGTTGTGGTGGTTAGGCATGTTAAGATCCATATATTATGCTATTGCAATTTATTACTATTTAATTATATTATAATAAATAATATAATAATATAAAAAATAACATAATGTAGCATGAGAATAGTAATTATTGTAATTCAATTAAACTCCAAAGTTAAGTGGTACCTAAATGTGAAGTTTAACAATGAAAAACAATTCAATTTTTGGTATTTTTTAAATTGATTTCTAAAACAAGTCGATTGACTATAAGCTAATTTGAACTGTCTCAACATTCGTGCCGGTTGTTATTTAAAGAAAATGATATACAACTAATATTTTATATACAAATTTTACAAAAATTAAATAATATATTATATTAAATATGAGCATATTTTATAATTATACTAAAATCCGGACATTTTTAACTTTGCATTTTAAAATTAATTATCCTAGACCCTAGTAATTCTTTGCTATAGTCAAACAAATAATTTGAATTTAAAATAATAACCAATAACCTGCATGTCTATCGTAATCGTTAACTCGGTATCTGTTTGGTTAGTACCTACAATATTCTCATTAACACGAGCATTAAACCACTATAATGTGAGTATAAAAGTTATTATCGGTGTTGATAATAAACAAAAGAATTTATATTTTTACTACATGGGAATTTTTTTTTTTAATCATATAGACCGAGGACAACTGTTATTTATTCAAAACGTACCCATTTAATTTATTTTCTATGAAAATGAAATTAGTTTAATTTTGTTTTGTTTTCTTATTATTAATTATTATTTTTCGACATTTTATGTTGAATAATTTATTTTATTTTAATTTCGTTGACGAAAACTAAGAACTGTATAAATAATATTTAGTTTTGAGTTGGTACAAAAACAAAAATTAACTTTTAATAAAAAGTTTTAGAAAAGTTGTTTATCTACTATTGACCAAGTTATGCAAAAATTAAATTATCTTTTAACTTTTAAATTATTATAACTGTTATTAATGCAAATTTACTTAAGTTAACCGGGTCAAATAAAACCATTAACTGGCTCAGCTTTGTACAGGTACCTACTATACCCAGGTATAAACTACCTACACATAAAAATGTGTAATCATCACCAAAACACGTATCGATAGTACTTGTCAGCACTAACTTATAATGTAGAATCAAATGATATTATTAAATTATCTATAAAACATAGGTACACTGTTAAATAATAGCTGGATTGTTCAACCGACCGAAGTCTTCAATTGAATAAATCGATAATTACTATTATTACGAAGGTACTAATTTATATTTCCTTAAAATCTTAACCCAAATTTAGAATATTGCTTAATATATTATAATAAATAATAATAACAGACGAATTAATCAACATTGAATACGAATGTAAATTTGAGGAAATTTGTATCGTAATATGGTTATTTTGGCAATAGGTACTCACGTCGTCTTGGAACACGCAGTTTTCAGCAGAAGTCTCGTACGCTGACGATATGTTATTGTGGTCACCGTCAACCGACGCGAATCTAAAATGCAAACACTATTTGAAATATCCGCAAAAACTATTGGTAGGCACTAGGCATCGCGTCATTCATTTCGTTGTAACATTTCACACAGCCGCCATCGTCACTGATGCTTGGTTGTGCACAGTGTAGATACTCAACAACGTTAATAATCAACTGCATAATATTATAGTATGCATTTTTATGCAATATTATATACCTGCTACTGTTACTGCTGCTGCTACTACTGCTGTTGCTGCCGTTGTAGTACGACGGGGAATTTTGGGCGTAAGCCACCACTGGTTGGACGACGGTTTCTCCACCTCCAGCCCGGAATTTGTTATTTTGTAAGACACCTACAATATTATATAGTAGGTAACGTGAATAATTAAAAACGTCAATTTCAAGTGAACCACACGAAATAAATTAATAGTTGTACAAACATTTAGGGTTAGGGCAATTTCCAGTAATACAGAGTGACGAAAATTCATGGAAATTACTGGAAACGTGTGGGAATTCACTGGTATCGCACAGAAATTGTTGAAACGAATTATAGTTTACGCATCATAAGGCTATTATGTAACGGTGTATTTCATTTAAATGTTCAAGGTATATTTAAATTTCCATTTAAAATACTTACAAGTCTTAGACTGCTTAAAATTATGTAAAAAAAAATAAATCCTGTTTCAATTGCAGGAACCTATATTATGTACCTACCTGTACTAATAGAATCGATGAGTCCAGTCACAATTACATTTTGTTCTTTCAAATATTATTACTTCTGTAGTCTCTCAACTATACATGGTTATTCTTGCCATATTTAAATTTTTATTACTATCCATAAATGAAAAATATATATATTTTTTAAAAACGACAATGGTGTAGATGTATAATTCGATTTTCATAAATAAATTAAAATGTATATAATACCAACATGGGGCCGATACTATTCATTCCGGTTGGCAGTATGTAAGTAGTTAGCCATTGGAATTATTAGGTATAACTGAACATTTTTAAAGACAATATGCTTCACCACTTTTTTTAGTACTAAAAGTCTTATCTAAAAGTGCTGCAAATAAAAGTGTCAAATGAAAAACCTTGGCATATAGATAAGTCTTAGATTATAGTATGAGGGACGTACATTTTAAAAAACTTTCATGCCACATGGGAGTTTTTCCTTTACCCGTACAAAATATTGTACATAAATTAATATTCTTCTTGCCTAATAGTAATGTCAAGCCTCCGCGTCAATTAAAACTAAATGAAAATTCCAAGGAAATCACAAGTTCTACCCAGTTATCTTTTGATTTAACTAATGCACCATAACAATTTCAAAAGTTATGAATATTAATTAAAACTATAAATGGCAATTCAAAAGAAATCATAAGTTCTACCCACTTATATTTTAGTTTGGCTAATGCCCCACGAAAATTTCAAAAACTTATGAATATAAATATGGTATGATAAAATTATAGGATCAACTGTTGTTATTTAGATGATTGTGCATGTGTTAGTAAAACTTTAGAAATACAACCCAATGCACTTGAAATAAGGTTTGAACTGTTAAAATAAAACTCAAATTCAAAATGTTGAAATGTAAATTTAGATAAACTATACTAAAATGATTACCTAGGTAGATAATATTATGAATGATAAAAAAATAAGGACGACAAAAGAACAACTTTTAGCCATTAGGAACTTATTCCCTCTCCTGCCACAATACAACAATTATGAAGTTTTGGTATGTTCAGCAAATTACTTTTGTAGATTTATTCAAAATGTTAGTAAATTGGCACATCCTCTTATGGAATAAACAAAAAAAAACTTTTAATCCAAAAATAAACTACTTCCTACTCAAATTTGAATAGGAATCACGTTTAACACACTTAAATCCAAACTTACGAATAAACGCTCTATAAAAATCTTAGCAACCAAAAGATTAAGGTATAAATGTATAATAGTATTTTTCAACAAATAAAGAAAATAATAAACTACACCTATACTTCAGATGCTCCAATAACTATATATAAATATTGCACAAAACAACTAACCGACGTTAAACTTAGAAATTGCAACCTTACATTTCAACTGTATCCATTGGTTAATGATTGTACTCATATTGGTCTTAACAGTTATTCAAACTGACCATACATATATAATTGAATAATTATAAATAATTAAATCGGAATCAACAGTATTGAATATACAAAGAACTTAATTAATTGGTTTTGATTTTAAAATATTTTTTGAGAAAGACATTTCTTATTGATCTTAAAAATGATTTATAAATAGTAATTCATTTAGTAGGTAGCGAAAAATGAAATAACAGTGTTAACTAATAATACTATACCAAATAAGACTCAAAATCGAATAACAAAATATCATATTTTAATTTTTAACGTTTCAGAGTATAACACGGAAACTGATGATACTTAAATTACATCCGAAAATATTATTTTGGTTTCGTTCCCAATATGTATGCACATCTTAAGAACAATCCGTTTTACCTTAATACCTTTTATAAATGCCTCGTTCTGAAATCTCAATAGAACTTGAAAATAATGACACAAACAGTTTGATCAATTTTGAAAATTTTGAAAGCCAAATTACGTCAATCCAATTAGTTACTTATTTGAGTCTGGGCCACATCTGATCCGTTAACAATGAAGAGAAACTAACTAAGACATAAAAGTCTCAACGCCAGATCAAGATTAATTCCGAAGATTAAAATTGGTATGTCATAATTCTAATGTCTCAAGAAAAAAAAACTTCTAACTCACCCTAGTCTGAATAAATCCTTATTAAGTGTCTACCTGTTATAATTTCAGTATTTACATAATCCTTTAAGTAATATACCACGTAAATATAAGACTTAATTAGGTAGATTATTATGAAAATGTAAGCCTTCATTCTAAATTAATAAGTGTACCTGCTTCCCGCCCCTGCAAACGTAATTTGACGTAAAATATTCATAAAATATTATGTACTACGATTATTTTATTCTAACTGAAACTCAAACCAATAATGGTATAAATCGATTAACGAGCTAGGTTTAAATTGGTATTTATTTATAAGAGTGATTGATAACACTAATATAGGAGGCGAGAGGTGTTGCGATAAATGTACGTCTAATATAATAGGTAATCCTATTACCACTACAGAAATTACTATATAGAACAGGTGTTCATGTCCGTGGTCACAGGTGCAGCTACAAAGTTTAAAATCGGGACAATATGTCGTATTATAGTACACATACAGTATAGAATTAGATGGAACATTCGGTATTATAACATACATCAAAAACGTGCAAAAAGTGGAGCTTGTTTCGAGGATTTGTTTTTGTTTGGTTATAAAATCTCGAATCACTTTCATTTCTCCCACTCTTGTGATAGAACTCAAGCTATAATAATCTCTCATAATCCTTTTGGCATGACCAAAACCCTTAGTCCTCGAAGAAAATGCTCTGTCTAAATGTACAAGCCTATATGCAGGTTACATATACCACCTATAATACAATAATACCTAGTTCTATTAATTCAAATTCGTTTCATGTTAAAAATAACTGTCTAACGTTGCAACTAGTGGTTTTCGATGCTGTTTGTGCTGATTTAAGATTAAAAACATTAATGAATATGAGTAAATATGAATAATACATGAATAATTATTAGGAATATAACCTATCAGTCAAACTCGATACAACACGATTGCGCCCGCCCTACATTTTTACCTTCAAAAAACACAACACGATTGTGTTCAATGAAATATAAGTCTTGCCTTTTTAAAGTTTGAAGAGGTAAACTCAAATTTTAAATTAAAAGTTCGAGTGACAGTGATACTAAATAATATGCTAAAAAAGCAACAGTCAAGTGCAGCTCAAATATAAAATCCGACTAGAGTCTACAGCAGTATGGCTTGACGCATACCTACTACTATCTACAGATTAAATAAATTATAAGTTATATCTATAGAATATTATCTCGATTATTGAAGCACTTACTACTCGTATACGTACAATATAACAATAATTACTAAATTACACTGTCATTATTTAGTTTATGCCTCATAGGACATCGATATTGAAAATTGTATGTTTTTATGTTATACCTTCGTCCTACATAGATATTGGACAAATACGTTTATGAAAAAAAAACGTGACAAATGTTTATAACACCATGTTAATACAGCTCGAAACTTGAACTTTTAACTTGAACTTTGAGTTTACCACTACAAATGTATTTTTAAATAGTGTATTGGAAAATTGTTAGAAGACCTATATTTCACGGAGGGAAATCGTGTTGCGGTTTTTGCATGTAAAAATGTACGACTGGCACAGTCGTATTACAGCCAGTCAAACTTTATGTTTTATTTAAATTTAACCCTTTATTAAGTTGGTTTTAGTCTTTTCTATCTTAATGTCAGCAGAGTGAAAATGAATAACATCTTATCGAATGCAGTCAATGTGTTACCTGTGGAGTGACTCGGGAAAGCATGTTTACCTAGGATGTTATTTATAATATTTGTATTTGATTTAGATTTTAGATAGTTAAGACTGTTAAATACACTAACTAGTGTCTAATGTTTGTTGACGACTTAAAATTATATTACCAAATTTGTGATCAGGGCTCAGAAGGATTATGTTAAATCACAAAGTGACTATTAAACCGTTTCTCGAAGGGATGTGACGCTCACGGTTTATGTATACAAACACAACCAAATGTCTACAGAATAAATCCCTCTCACGTCGTAGGTTAGCTGTTCAGTAAATTTGAATTACAAGACTTATAGGCATTGTAATTCCTAAGCATTTTCTCCGTTAATTATTTAGGACAAGTATGGTGATCAAATTATATCTAACTTTTACATTAAGACGAAATGTATATAAAAAAAACTATTTAATTTTTAGGATTTATTTACCCATTTAACAATCTACCTAAGTAAATCTTACATAACAAAAAAAAAAATTGAAATTAAAAATATTTTGCATCAATTAAATATTTCGAAATGAAGTGATGGTTCTCAGTGATAAAATACCAGCTCTAGACTTTTAAACGTCTTTTATAATTTTCAAGTCACTATAAATCGTTATAAATTATAACTGTCTACTGCGGGTGCGTTCATTTATAATTATAATATTTATCGATATATTTTCATTAATATAATTTATATTAATACAAAATTATGAAACATGTATATGTAGTATTATTTTTTAGTACATTGTTTACTGTAGAAGTCTTACCGGATTGTATCGTAGACGACTGGTTGAGTTTTTTTGATCGGGTTTGGTCGGTAAAAACGGACGCTGCCGAAGATTCGTCGTTGGACAACTTCGACCTTTGATGCGAGTCCGAGCTGCCCGAATTAGCAGCTGCGTATTTCTTCATGAACCTCTCGTTATCGACGATCTGGTGGTGTAAGTTAACCGCCGCCGAGCTACTACTGTTGTTCAATCCAGATATACCTAGGAAAGAAAACAAAAAGATTATTGTTGGTCCAAAAAACAAAAACGGTTTCATTTCAAACCTACCTACTCTTACATTTAACGTTACCTATTTAGAATTTAAAAGTTGCTTAAATTGATTTGCGTTTAACGTCATTATTAGCAAGATCTTTAACGTCACATTGCTTTTGTATTGAATTTTATGAATTTATCATCCCTATTATTCTTGACTTAGGTATTATAAAATTATTAAAATTATTATCTATAATATAATTTAGGTTTCTGGTGTCATTAATTTTTCGTTCTTCTTGCGTTTAAAACGTCAATCATTTGTTTTCAATATTTAACGTCGTGGTTACAAAAAACTCAAACTTAATATAAAGTTCCAGCACCAGCAACAATACCAACAATGTAACTAGGTACCGAAATTTATTATATAAAAAAATGTAATTTAATTTAAAACTAACATTTACAAACATACTTTAAAATCCAGACATAAATAATAATGTCTACATACGAAAATAAAAATCGTGATATCCAAATTGCGTCCGTGGTTTTTGCACAACATATCCGAGTTGCGTCGACAATTTTCTTACGACATATACGAGTTGCGTCCCGGTTAATAATTGATTAATTGGATAATATTATACATAATATGTTCCTTCCCACTTTTACAGAATTTTTGAACAAAGTCAAGACGTGTTATATTTTTGTTTTTTAACTGAGTCATAGTTTTTTTTAATAAATTCTTGAAATATAATGTTGACTTTAAAAAATGGTGAGGTTAAAAATTGTAATTGTATATGTGTAATTAATTTAAAAAAAATAATTTCCAACTGTATTTACAGATAAGATAACCATAACCGAAGTTATCTACGAGTTTATCACCAAACATTATACTTAGTCGCTGAAAAACCCGTGGACACAATTCGTACATGTCACGAGTTAAACTCGGATGTGTCGGGACAAAACCGCGGACGCAACTTGGATAAAATATAATTCAGGGACGCAATTCGAATGCGCTGATAATAATATATCCTGCATTATATAGCTCGTTGACGTTGTGTATGTATACTATTTAAAATCACATTTTTATAAATAATTTAAATTTTAAAAAATTGACAAATTATAGTTTTTAATTGAAAATAAAAAGTGTATAATTTATAGGACATAGGTAATCGTATTATAATTATTTTTTTTTATTATTTAATATTATTGTATTAAAAATGTTTCGGATTTAATAAAATATCGAATTGGTTTCCACAATTTTAATTGTTATTTAAATTATATTTTTAAATATATGGAATGATAATCCCTGACTTTTATCGGGTTGGAGAAAATTTAACAAGAGTAATAAAGAGTATTGTTTAACAGGGTCTGCAATGGAAAAGTGTGATTTTCAATAAATTGGCCGTAATTCCAGTATTCATTATACTGGTCATTGTGCTTGCAGGTTAGTAAAGTGACCACTGACCAATCAGTGACTACACCCTATCGATGGTTTGAAAAGCGTATTGACTGGCTTATACGTACAACAGATAATCACTATACATTTGATGACAAATTTGATATTTATTTCGTTGAAGTGAGATTTTTTTTTATGAGAATATTTTAAATTGTCGGTGCATGCCGACAACCACCAGTGAATTTAAAGGAAATATTTAAAAACGATGTTTGTAAAATCCCGTGCAGTAAGGTATTGTGTTTGACGTTCCCTGATGCAATTTACAGCTTCAGGCTGAGCCTGCAAACATGCACTTTAGAAATCGTATATGACGGGATTTTCCAAGGTTCTTTTTGTTATTTATATACTGAGGTATATAAGTAAAAATAAATTGTACTGCATCCCATCTAAGCACTTTATACTTAGTGAGTAATTTTTGTTTGAAAACCGTGATGCGTTTTCATAATATGCAGGGCAATGCATAATTTAAAATGTCTTATGAATTCAATACGGTTAGTGAGGATGAGTCAAAGGGCAAGGCGTCTTTGAGATGGACGAAGGGGGCAGCGTCTCCTTTCCACCATACCTTGTAGCTTTTTAAAAATGTTCTCAAGTTAATTGTTCTAGAACTAAACTATTTCTGACTGTATTAGTATCATTGAATATAAAATATCAATAATTAATGCATATAGTATACATAAGAAATATTATACTAATATCAAGTTAAATGGTTACATTATAATAAATGTATATTATATTTAAGTAGATGTCTTAATGTGTAGTTCAAATTGTCCATTCATAATCACTTAAGTGGACGTAGAAACCGAGTGAGTTTTCTCCGTCTATGACTAACGCAAAACGTCATGTTAAATTTTACGTTAATAAATAATAATGATCTATTTTGCTCTGTTTGTTTTAATATGGAAGTAATTTTGGATGTAAAAATATTATTTAAGGCACCACTAAGGTATTTATATTTTAAAATTGTAAACCATTTGTACATTTTAAAATGAGTAGGTACTCGTAATTGGCTCTAAAACTAAAATATCGAAAAAACGTATAGGAGCTTAAATAATATTTTCACCTTTCAATTCGATAATGTGTCAATTCACAATACCTTGTTTTTAATATTAAAAATGACAGTGAAAAATTGATTATTCGGAACTTAAAAATTGTTTATTTTAAGCGTTATTATTCCAGTGTAATTATATATATTTTATAATATGCAATTAAAAACAACATTAAAACAACAGCAAAGACCTTTAATTTTCTGGGGATACCCCTAGAGTAGGTGGAGCCCCCTCCCTAGACTCTTATGTAGGGGGCGTCGTGAAAACTAAAAGTCTTTGCTGTTGTTTTGAATTGCACATCCATATTTTAGAAAATATTTGTTTTAATTACTGAGGGGTAATAGTTTTAGAGATTGTTGTGCCACTAAAAATGACAATATACTTTTTAATACATATTAATTTGATAAGCTATTAAGCTCATCACCATACGACGATTTCAAAGTCGGTATCCCTTTTTTCGTTATAACTTATTATTACATTTATTTAGTAGTCAATAGATACAGTTACATACTTACAAACATATTTCAGATTAACCTGTTGGCATTTAGAGCAGCGTCTTCGTATAGAGCAGTTAGCGACTATTCCCCAGATTATAATTAACTGGCCAATAACTCGCTTCTACGCCAACTGTAAGCCTAATGCACTTTGTTTATTTTGAAATTATTTAAAAATATAATGTGAAACACTCATTGTTTAAATACCTTTACTTTTTAATTTTATTATTTATACATTACTAGATGTCCCGTCACGGAGTGTATATTACATAGCTATATAAAAATATCCCTTTGACCCCCTTAGAGGTCGAATTTTGAAAAATTATTTCTTAGTGCGCCCCCACATTCCTTAAGGAATCTCTGTACACAATTTCAAGTTTCTAGACCCAGCGGTTTGATCTGGGAGTTTATGAGTGAATAAGGCTGGTCTCCTATATGTGTATAGATATCTTAGATTTTATTAGTCCAATTGAGAAATAATTTGTTAAGTACCTATAACTGTATTAAAACAAATAAATAATTAATTTTTTTTAAATTTAATTAGCTGAATTACCCGGCTTCGCCCGTGTGTAGTTTTTGCTCTCTCAAAATAAAATTCTTAAATCAACACACATTGTTGTGTTTTAAGGAAGATAAAATTGTATTTTACTTAATGCTATTAAGTGCTAAATAGTAATAGTAGCTGAATTATAAATAAAATATTATTTTATTAAAAATAAAATAAAAATAATAATTATTACATTTACAGATGATTCTAATGATTCTATACACAATATACATATTGTTATTAACAAATGATTCTATTGTTATGATTATAATTTGTATAGTTGAACACGTTTATCGCACATCGATAAGAAAATTATTATTATTTTTCGATAACGCTATTTGTATTTTGTATAAATGAGCTATTCGATTTTTTCCATACAAAACTTAACTTAATAAAAATGTTATGTTAGTTTGTAGTTTATAATTTCGGCAAGTATTCCTACGTCATAAATATAGCTTTTGCAGCCGTTGCTAAGTACGATCGTTAGTAGACAAATTAACTGTCGTAGTGTCATTTCGAAACAAAGATCTATGTGAGCAGTATATTATCAGGTGACCATCTACCTGCGGTGGATTGCGGACCCCGCAAGTGCACACTCTATATGAATAATATGTTTTATTTTAATTTTATTAATTATTTTGATTGCGTGCATGCCGATGAGCGGCTTTAAGTGTAACTTAGCCGATAGCCATCTTGGTAGGCAATGTAATTGATTTAATGCATTCTTTAACCTGATCTGCCCGATTAACCAATAGCAACCAAAAAATAAAAAAAATACCAAGTTCTACTAAAATATTAAGACAATTGAGCTGAGAATGAGTTATTAATTATAATAATTGCAGATTTAGCAAATTGTATACCTATACACATACCAGTGGCGTGTATCATAAAAAAAAAGGGTTTGCTCAAATAATTTTAGGTGACCTACCTCTCATCACACTGCCGTTATACCAACCTATAAAATTTCTTATTTTTCTTCTATCAATACCCACCCACCCATATTTAAGGTGTTGCCTGAGTAACACTTGTACCCAGAGGCGGATTTATCTTTTTTACGGCTATAGGCACCAAAAATTTGCCGCTCCTATAATAGGTGAAAAAGTTACAATACCCCTCCAAAATACCTACTCTAAATATTTAATATATAGACAATAGTAGTGGACGTCCATTTTAATTTTTAGACTATTTTTTTCGCCTGAAGTTATTTACGACACGCGACTCGATGTTTCAAACACAGATTGCGAAATAATATAATAATTTAATAACCAAATTTTTGATTATTATTATCATTATTCGTTACAGTTCTGAGTTCATATGATTGTCATATGTCGAATTAGTAATATAGTGTGGCAGTGTGAGTATTTATTTTTATCGAAATTACGACGACGCGCGACGTCGATCCCCGATAAGAATAATAAAACCATTGTTGCTTTATATATTTTTATGACCCATGCGGGCTCTGGGTGGACTATACCAACGTGTTAAAATATATAGTATTATCAAAAACTGTTTTCTATATAATTGTTTACTATAATATTTATAGGTAATGACTATAAATTATAATGAACCAAAATAGATTGGTATACTGAATATCATATACGATGTACTATAATATGTTTGATGTTTTTTAATAAAACACTACAAAATTTGCCGCCCCCCAAATTTTGCCGCCCTAGGCAGCTGCCTACAATGCCTAATGGGAAATCCGCCTCTGCTTGTACCCTATGTTACACGCCACTGACACATATTGTACCCATGGCCGGCGGCCCGCGGGCGACTTAAGTTTGTTAAAATTTTAAGCGGATTGCTTAACTAACCATGATGAACAAACATTTATCAAAAAACTCACTGTAAAATGTTTCATTAATCTTCCGATTGATTCCACTGTAAAATGAGCATTAAGAAATTATAAATTAACTGTTTTATATCATAGATAGAAGATAGATGGATCTGTTTTAAATGATAAGCGATAAACGTGATGCCTCGACTAAAAGAAATAGTGATTTATTTGTATATAAATAAATAGATATAGATAGATTGTAGAATTTTACTTCTAGGAACAACTCATATCTACACGCCGATCAAACACATAGTTAGACGGACAAAAAGTGAGATTGCATGTCGCTATGGAAACCCAAAGGTCACCGTGCTGTAAAATATATATAAAGATATACAATTTGTACGTAAATAATTTATTTTTGCCGATTTCAACCCTTTAAAATCAAAATTTTGAAAAATCCTTTCTTAGTAGAATTTGTCATTATAATATTAATCCATTCTCAACATTTCAATTCGATAACTCAAATAGGTTCAGATCTGCGTTGATTATTACTAAAGTAACCTTCCTTTATATATAGAGAAGAATATGTACCTACGCGTATTGCTATAATATTAGTGATAGGTTAAGACTTAAAAATACGAAAATAATTATTTTATGTACATAGACCCTTAAAGGAAAAATGTATTATATTCAGTAAATAATCAAAAAAATTCGGCCACCAGTGCTATTTATCACAAGTACAAATGAGGGGCGACATTTCAAAACGTACTTTTTCCAAAATTAAAGAAATTGAGTTATATATTGATTCTTATGGGAAAAAAGGCGGGAAATCGAATGGAGTGGTCAAAATGAACCAAAACGAACTATTTCCCTTGTTAAATTGAAGTTGTTAATCTGTTATTGTGGCACAACGTACTATTTCCGTGTCAAATATTAGGTCAAAACGAACTATTTACAGATTGCATCAAAACGTTCTATTTCCTGTGTTAAATAGGAGTTTGGTTTAGAAATATGTGGCAAAACGTACTAATTCCTAATATTTTTATAAAACAAACTATTTCCATATTACTTCAAAACGTAATATGTTCTATATGTTATAAAGATAGAAAACGAAATTGAAGTAAACACAAAACGTACTATTTCCAGTTGTTTGAAAATACATAAAATATTTTTTGTAGATTTTTTATAATTAATTCATTTATATAAATTAACTGTGCAAAATTAATTTGAATGGTTTATTTATTTATTTCTACATCTAAAAACATTATCATCATTCATCATACACCAAGCATTGTGATTATTGATAGTAAATTGCGCCAAAAGTGTTGATGGTCAGTGATAACGCCTATCATATTTATTTTATTCATTTTATTCATCTCAAAAACCTCAAACCACGGCCTTAGACTTTGTAATAGTATAATATAATATTATTAAAATGTATAAATCAAGAACTAAATGCCTTGTGCATCGAACAATACAGGAGGTAACTATTTCCATAAATCAGACTAAAACGTACTATTTGTCGGAAATAGGACGTTATGATGCAATTTAGTGCTTAAAATTATGAATTACTACATTAAAATTAAAATTTTAACATTAAATGACATCCTAACTAAAATCACTGAATTTTTATGAATTTTATGATGTTTTTACGATATTTCCACGAGTTTCTTAGTAATTCGGAACAGAAAATCGTGTTTTCTGAAAAAAGTGTAAAATGGAAATAGTACGTTTTGAAATGTCGCCCCTCAAATATAATATTATATACTGACCGGTCAACGTGTTGGCCAACTGCCGTTTTCGGAGGCTCGTCACACCGTCAGCGCCCGTCGGGCTGCTCAGCTCGTCCTCGTCCTCGGGTATGGTGTACACGTCCGAAGCGTTTGCGTTGGTCGGATTGCCTCCATAGTACGCTTGCTGTTCACTGCAATACTGCTCCTCGCGCCGTTGCTGCTGTTGTTGCTGTTGCTGCTGTTGCTGCTGCTGCATTCGGGCGGTGTCGACGTCGTCCAACAACACTTGGCCGTTCTCGTCCAACATGGGCATCGGCCGCAAGTTCATTAGTTCGACGCCACCGCCGGCCAGACACTCAGCCAGACTCACGTCGTCGCTGGAATCGGACCCGGAACGCTCTCCCTGCAGCTGCTGCTGTTGCTGTTGCTGTTGCTGCTGCAGTAGTTGTTGCTGCTGCTGCAATTGTTGCTGTTGCTGCTGGTGGTATTGCTGAGAGTTCCCGCCGGCGCCGGCTCCGTAAGGCATGGACACCTCGTTTTCCGGCGACACGGGTGACAGCTGTTCTTCGGGCGACAACTGTTGCTGGTGGTAGTCGTCGAAACCACGTTGCTGAATGTGCCGCCTTGCCGCCGCCGCAGCTGCCGAATTGTAACCACTATGCTGCTGATACGAGCCGCCGGCGGGTTGTTGGTACGCCGAAGTAGTGGTGTGTTGCTGCTGTTGTGAGTACGACGACGACGACGACGACAACGACGACGACCCACCGGCACCGCCAGCGCCGTCCCTGTGCTGTTGCTGGTAGACGTTACGGTCCTGATACGATGAGTTCTGTTGCTGTGGAGTGCCACTTTTGCTGTTATTGCCGTTGTAGTAAGTGGAGTCTTGGCCGCCGGACGACGCGTAACTTCCGTTAGAGGCAGTTTCGCCTCGAGATGACGACGACATCGCCGTCGTTCTGTATAACACGCAATAATGGTTAAAAACCAAATGAACAACAATTTAAAATAGGTATTGCTATAAATAACATAAATAAAATGAAAACATATAATTATGTGATGTTTAGTGAATATATTATGTATAACATGCTCACATTATATTTTTTAAATGTGTTGTGTACATTTCAAGTCTCTACATTTTTTTTTTTTTTATTACATCGAAAAACAAATCCAAATATTTTTGTATTACATCATAATTTTGTGCAAAACTAGTTCTGCACAAAATTTCTAGTTCTCCCTAATTTTAAGTACTGAGAATTTCCAATTTTAACCTCCAATTTTCAACTAGTCGCAGTTTTTGATCAAAAACTTCCGTCAAAACCACCCAATAAACACTGGACATTTCACCAATTTACAAAAATAAATGATTTATGAGGGGGGTGTCTCATTGTAGAACCAAAGCTTCATAAGATCCTGGTATGGACCCAACCTTAAGCTCCATAAAAAAAACTCTGACACTATTTTGCTCCTATTAGCAGGTTAACCCGAAACCCAAATAAATTTTTACTATGTGATGATGTGTAATTTTGTATGACGTACCTAACTATCTTGTGCGGTTAAAGTTCATTTTTTTTATTATAGTTATAATAATTATTAATGGGAATAATTTTACATTCAAAATTGGCATTGTAACTAAATATTTCTTCTCAACACATAAGCATTACTCTTCGTTTCGTCAATTCGTTCGACAGTTATATAATATCGTCTATCAATGCAATTCGTTGAAATTAAATAATATTCTAATAAGGAACATAATATCTTACATGATCTAAAAAATATTTGATACCTACACAGTTTTCGAATTAAGTTTTCCTCGAACTATACTCAATCCATTACCCGTATGAACTCGAATGTCAAATAAGTACAATTTTTGCACATGGAATAATTTTGAATATCGAATTGCATTTTTATTCTCGTTGTTTGAACAACCGAATACCAGCTACATCCAGCACTGGAAACCCGAAACACAAATAAAATATATTATTCGGATGCAAAACACTCATTATATCCGCACGCACGAGCGTAAAGCAAATACCGTACTTGCAATACATATATGTTTGAAGGCACACCCCCAAAGGTGGTACCTACGTGTAACCGAATAAAATGCGTCAAAAATAATAATAGAGCTTTGTGTATTTTTTTTTTTAGTTGTGTTTATCACTGCAGTATTACTTTAAGTGCCGTGTTATTGATTAAACCGTCAGCAAGCGGTCATATACATATTATTTTTGAGCTTAATTTCGTTTTCTTCTGAACGTTTAATAAATATGAGCGACAAAATAATATATATGTAACTATATTATGTATACTTTTTCGTTGAAAAATTAGCAGCCACTCAAAGCTGCTGTCATCCCTGCTGTCGTAAAACAACATTTATTGGCTTTTTAGTCGTAATTCGTTTTCAACTCGGCGGCGGCGACAATGCAATTATAATTATTATTATAAACTATAGGTGTAGGGGAGTTCTGTCGAACAGCCGCAAACACTGCTCTAGAGAAAAAAAATATGGCGGGCTTAAATATAAAGGTAATTCACAAAGCTGAGTGAGTTAATTATTACTTGTTTTTTTAACCCTTTTAAGCCAAGGTATATTTACAAGAAAACGTTAAAAGTTAATTTAATGTTTGGTTGACTTAATTCTGCAGTACCTATCCGAGTTAAAAGTGAATAAACAATTTATTATGTGTAATATAATAGGTACAATATTTAGCCCATACTTAATTTGTTTACCAACTCAAAACTATACTAAGTATAGTGTTTGCTTATATGTTACATATAATGTATACATCATTTCTATATAGCATAAAGGTAATAGGTAAGTACTCAATTAAAGATTTTCTTCCCTAAAAAAACAGTTTATACCTACAAACATTAGCTGAAATATCTTTCGACATAAAAACGAAATCGATTTTGAAATGTAATCAAACAAAATTGAAATCAGAATAAATAACTTAACTTCTTGAAATTTGAAAGTAGTTGATTTCACGTCAATTAAAAAAAAACAATGAAATCAAGTCAGTAGATAAATAACGAAAACCCAAAAGTAATTAGTAAAGTCAAGAAGCCAAAACTTGGTGATTTACGTGCGTAGGTTTGCGCATGACTGCAGTATCCACGATCATAAACTTTAAAATACAATATATTGTATTATTATAATGTCTACGACGGCGGTCGATATACTAATCATGATATCAGTGGTTATAAACATACGACCTAGGTACGGATAAGAATATGTACCTACGTCGGACGAGTGAGAAACCATTCTAGTAGGTAATCATATTAGGTGTAAACGTATTCGAGGGCCTCGGATGATTGGACGGTGACTAACATTTTGAAAACAATAATGTCTCGGCCCAACAAAACAATTTTTCCGCAAATATTTCTTGGTGATCATATTATGATTTATGACATTATAATAGTATGAGTGTAGGTATACTACAGACTTTAGCTTAGTATCTGCAGCTTGTGATTGTATCACTTGTATTTATATAATATTACTAATGAGTGCGTTATAAAAACTAATTAATATTATTCCTATAGAAAATCAAATTCAAACAAATAGGTAATAAAAATCAGCTGGCAAACAACCGTGAAAATAATTGTCGTTCCGTATGATTGGGTAGGGTTTCGGTAGATATCTGCTGAGTGAAATTAAACTGAGCGGCTTAACACTTCCATATGGACAAGCTATCCCTCTACCACATACAGAACATAATAGAAATGACAATAATCAATCAATATACCACTACGAAAAATAGTTCAGTTGACCTTGAGGCTTGAATTCACTGTTATCAATTTTGACTAGTGTCAAGTAACAATAAATTAATAAAAGGACCTGAAAATACTAAGAAAATGTTTTAAAAAATGGACGAACACCGAAATATATTTTTTTTTAACTCAAAACAAAAGTTTCACCATTGAGGTATCTGTTGCATGAAACAAATTATTACGATTACTTGGAATGCAAATCATCCAAAAAATAAATCATTTTTTATTGACATATAGGTCTCATTAATTAGTATAATCAATTACTATTTCATATAAAATAATTGTAAAAACATAATATTCATCCTATTACGTTTTACATTACTATAAGTTCAAATGTAGTTCATGAATTACTACTCCTATAAAATTGCAACATTTTAAACGACTTGTAAAAGTATACAAGTATTCGATTAAACTAAATTATTATGATAGTCATCTAATAGTTAACTTTATTACTTACTGATAATCAATAACCTATTAAGTAAAATTAAATAAAAATGAGACCACGTGTGTATAATAATAGGTAACTGGATAAATGCATAATATAAAGTGACAGGGGGCTTCCATCCCCGCTCTCTCTTCTAGCCAATCCTTCTATAATATTGTCCAACCCCCTCAGAAGTTTAATTTAAAATGCTTTTTATAATTCAATATACTCATCACTGTCACTTTTTTAAAATTATTATTATTGTTTTTGGTTGCCACGGTAATCATAAAATAGTGCAGAAAAACAAAATAAATACCAAACTCTTTTATATTATAGAGGGATGGATATATTATATAATACACATAACTAAAATATGAATTCATATTAAATGAACTACTTACCTAAATAAATATTAATACAATACATTTTGTATAAAAAAACAATATTTGTATATACTAAATATCAAAGATAATAATGTTATATTTAAGATATTTTAAAAGACACATTAGCGTATTATGTTATTTACCGAACATAAAATGGCCTGGAACCGATAATAGTGCTAGTCATATAACTTCAGTTTCATTAGTTTCAATAACTTAATTCTGCAACATTTTAATTTCAAATGTCTATTTAAAAAAATGTTCCAATGTATTTTTAGGATTCTTGAGTTTCATTAAGAACAATTTATGAGTGATCGTGTATTACATTATCAATCATTCCTACCAAGCCTTAAATCTGTTTTTGACACTACAAAAAAAAAAAACAAAAAAAATTTCAAAAATGTCAAATACCTATTAATAAATATTTTAAAATTCGTTAGAATATTTTGAAATTTTCACTGATAACAAAAAAAATAATAATTTATAAAAGAGTGAAAAAAAGTTTCTGCAGTAAATATTTTTTGAAATTATTACTAATAATTAAATTGGTTGAGGATAAAATATTGTCATTATATATAGATATTTAAACGTCGACCAAATTTGAATTTCAATCGATCACGAAAAATTGGTAATTTTACCTCCACACTTATTTCAAATATTCATACATAGCACAAAAAAATCCGAAATATTTTTAAAATTATGTCATCACTAATTAATGCGGGTAATATAAATATACAGTGGAAACTCGATACGTCGAAATTCAACGGAAATGAAATTTTTTCAACTTATCGAGGTTTCCGACCTACCGAGGTTTTCGAAACAGCAAGGTTGTAGAAAAAAAGTTCGACTTAAAGAGTTTTTAAAATGTATATAGGTATGTACTGTGTATTAAAAGTTTTCAATTATTATATACAATGAAAAAAAAACAGGTAAGTGAATGTCGCTCTGTTGTACATTAGGTGTCTAAGAGATTGCTATAATGGATGGTATTCAATTTGAATTCAATGATAGGTATCAAATCGTTGCACACGAAAAACAATTCTGGCGGAGACGGTATGTCAGTTTAGGATATTTTAAATTCTTATTACTTATTATTAATATGGCAGCCGGTAAGTTGAATTAATATTATTCTTAAATTATATCTAATGCTGGAAAAATATTCAATATACCTTTGTGAAATTGGAATGTTTTGAAACCGATTTACAACAAAATGATAACCGTTATTCATCGTGTTAATATGCAATTTTGTCCAAATTTGAACACAAAATGTCTGTAAAAAATAATTGTATTCATATATTTTTTTAATTTCTTAATTATGGAAAAAAATGCTTAAGTGGAACCTTGTTTTAAATTTTCAATCCTTAGCTATAAAAACTGAACATTTTATACGTATTTAACTACAAAATTATTTTCGATTTTCAATTTGATAAATATTGTCAACATTTGAACTTTAAAATTTTATAAAAAAATGTTTTAATATTTTTCAACTGCTATTGTAACAACATATCAAAAGTCTTGTGTTAAATTGTCATGCTTTTTGACCCAACCAATAAAATTGTATTGACATTTATAGAAAAAAAAAATGAAAAAAAAAGAAAATGGAAATGTCCGCCAACAGCCTAAAACGAGTCAGAATATTTTGAAAAATTGTATTAAGTATATGAATTGATGAGATAAACATTGTATCTACAGTAATTCGTTTTTGAATTACAACAAAATAAGAAAATCGCTACTAGAGAAATCGAGTGAATATCCAATATTGTAAACATTTCAACTTCAAACGCTCATAAAAATTTAATTTGACTTTCCGGTAAAAATTTTTTTTGATAAAGGTAGACAAGATTTTTACGAATTTTGTCAAAATGTTAAATTTAAACGCTCATAAAAAATTATTTTTTATTTATACTCACTTTTTTTTTTTAATTTCTATTAACAACAACTTACAAGTAACCTTGTATTAAATTTACAAGTTTTTTGACAAAGCGAAAAAGTTTTTATCGACTTAAGTTTAAAAAAAAAACAAATAATAATCAAAAATTGTATGTGCCTATAAATAGTTCAACACAAATCGAAATATTTTGAAATTTTTATGGTGTATAGAAAACGCTTACACAAATATTCAGTGGAAATTGCATGTTTCTACGGAAAATTTGTTGGAGTTACACTAAAAACTAAAATCGATTTTTTCGAAATATGGTTTTGAGTAAAAATTCCCTTTTTTCCTCAATTGTTTGTTTGTTTTTCCTGTAGTTTTTGAAAACTATTGGGAATTTTAAATTTGGACCTCCCAAACGCACCAACTAGATTGGTGCCATAGACTTTCCTACCAGAAAAGCTGATATTGAAGAAAATCGAAGCACTTTTACAGCAAGAAACCGTGAGAGAGAAACAAAAAATAAGTTAAATAAAATAAAAACACACATACTGTAAAATCAATACATTCATCGCTCCGCTCAGAATCCAAACTGTGATTATATGGGTTATTTAAATTTAATAAAATATCGCGAAAAAAATATAATAGAACATATATTATGTAGTGTTGCAACTTTATAATAGATAATTTGTTATCTTACTTTGACTTAAAATTTGGGATTTGCTATTATCATCGAAACGAACAAGTCCATTAGACAAATGTTTATAGAATTATCCGTCTATAATTCTATATTCGGAGCACAGAATGATCGAGTTATCCATAGTTTTTTTTTTCAAGAAATCGAGGTTTCCTCAAGGGAACAGAATGTTTTTTGACTTATCAAGGTTTTCGACTTATCGAGGTTCTACTGTACTATGATAATATTATTATGTTTCTAAGGTTTTTTTAGTAAAAAAAAACAAAAATCTATGTAGTCAAAAAACTGACTTTATTTGTAAAACTTCCCGTTGTCCCTAATGTTTTTTATGCCCCCTCCCCCATCCCCCATACACCAACTTAAACCTATTTGCTACCAGAAAATATCCTCAAAGCTAAATATCCAAGCACTCATTTTACTAAAACGGGTACACAGCCACAATTATATTATACAACCTCACATAATTTTAAAATAAATACATTCATCGTTCCTCTCAGGATTTAAAACGCGATGCAGGAGTTATTAATGTCATTTGTTTCAGCTAATGTGTAAAATCAGTTTTATAACTCAATACCTAGCAAAGTGTTACATATTTTAAGGAAAATATGAATATTATTCACCCAAACGATGTTTTTCGACATAATTCACCACAAATATACGACCACAATACGTCAATACTTATAAAAATAAAGGCACCCGAACGATGTAGAGGTCGAACGATTTGTTTTCAAGAACATTAACATATCCGCGGTATTATAGCTGGTTGGTCACAATTACACTAACATAATACTATATAATCCAACCACACAATCATCACTCCACATCGTCCAACTATTTTATACCCAGAAGGACGTCACAAGCCTATGTTATAATGCTGTAATAAGTCCTGCGAGTTACCTGGGCATCGCCAAATGCGACGGCGCCACCGGTGCTGGTTCCGTGACGTCCATGTTCTTCGCCTTTGCCATGACGTTCTGGATCAATGCTCGCTCCTCAGCACTCAGGTGGCTCAGGTCCAGGCTCAGCGGGTCCGGGTCGGCCGTCGTGGTTTCCAGTATGCCTGTAAAAAACACGTTCAATATAGACGTTTGTATATAAATACAAATAATAATATCAAAAGACCCGAAACGATGATACCCAGACTGCACGAGTGGGTATAAATTACTAATTATTAGGAGAAAAGGAACTACTTTTTATTTGTATATTTTAAAACAGACACAAGATAAACAACAAATTAAAAAGTAGGTACTTAAAAAGCGTTTCAAATACTTTTGTCAATAAGTAGACGGTATTTAACTTATTGACAAAAGTTAAAAGACCAAATATAAAATATACTATGTAAAGTAGATATTTATAAAGTAATACAAATACTTTTCAAATATATTTTTTTTCACTTTATAATCAATAGGTACCAGTTATTTTTTCTTTGATGTTTAAACTCAAAGCTATATATAGTGGCTCGTTTAAACTATACATGTATAATATATACTACACTGTAACTACACAATAACTGCAGTATCGTGCTGTGTAGCACCTAGGAGACGTAAGGATAAGGGTGAAAGTATTTTTTTTATTTTGATATAATATTTTTTATCGGTACACCGGAAAATAAAGTTAAAACGATATTTGTAACCAATGGTTGTTTTTTTATTTTTGATATCACGAATACAAAGGGACTGTCAACATTCCCGGTGTATTCGATATTTTCGATAACTTTTATGATACCACTGTTATTATAAATATTATTATTAAAATTCATTATATACTTGGAATCAAGTCCAAAAAAAAAACAATACATTGTTATTCTTCAGTAAAATTCATAATTTTCTCCAAATTTGAACTTAAAATGTTTATAAAAAGAAATTGGATCAATAAATTATTTAAATTCTTTGTTGCGGTATGAATATTACTTATGAGAAACCTTGTTTAACATTAAATTTTACAAGCTTTTTAACAGAAAAAACCATTTGCATCGACATGTATAGAAAAGTTAACTAAAACTTATCAAAAATTTAAAATGTATATAAAAAGCTCAATATAATTTTGAAAATTTCACACTTGGGTTTAGAAAATGATAACATTATTAAACATTAATTGGTGACCTTTTCAAGTATCTAAGGATTTGTTTTTTAAATTTCAGCAAAATAAGAAAATTATACTGAGAGAAATAGTTATATTACGGCCATTACGGGTAAATTCCTTCAAAATTTAAACTCCAGGCACTCATAAAAATGTTTGAAGAATTAAGCTCAAATTTTTGGTTTTTAATCCACTAATAACAACTTAATAAAAAAAAAAAAATATTATGAGTTTATACCTAGAAAAATAATTTACAAATTTTTCTTATTTCATAATATACCTACTATATTATGCGCAAGTAACTACTAAGTAATAATAAACTTCATTTATGATCGGAAAAACATAATAAAATGTACTGGGGTACCTTATAAGTTATAACATATAGGTACCAATATGAGCTTACAAAATGTCGAATGCCTGTGTCTCATAATTTTTTCATTTATTTTTGTTCTATTTCTTCTTTAAAATATAATATTATGTTTATATATACAATACCCACACGCACACACAATTTAATCGGCAATGGTATTCGAGTTTATTGTTGGGTAGCACAAACATTTAATAAAAATTTAATGAGTCATTGGTGAGCTGATGGTCTCTTAAACTTGATTTTGTGGCCAATGATCGGTCCAATTAATTTCAGTAAACAATTAAATTAACAACTTTTCATGCATCTCGACATATAGACATAGGTACTTATATCAAACATAAAATGAAAACATTTCATTTCTGAGTAAAAAAAATCATAATACTGATAATCCAAACAGAAACGAAAAAGTATATTTAATGAAAATTAATTATTGTTATTTTTATAAAAGTTTATAATGAATTCAAAATACAAATATATACGAAATAATATTTCAAGTATTTTTAAAATGTATTTTAAATACATAAATATCATATAAATACATGTATTACTCAAATGATTAAGATATTTTGTGGTTTATAATATTGTTATATGTTAATGAGAATATGAGATACTGATGCGTTCATACTAACTTCATAGTAATCGGCACTAATCGCATAGATATAATAATATTATTATACTCTCGCACTTTCACTGTCTATTTATTCCATTGAGTTTGACAAGGTTAAATAATTATTGCCTTAATATTTTCGTATAATACGAATATTGACTTGAAAAATAAAAATTTAATATTCTCTAACAATATTCTATGTGAGGTTATATTTTTATAAGGTCTAAGCCATCTGCAAGGGACACCACTAGAGTTTAGAGGCATGAAGCTTTAGGTATACTGGTCACATGTAGTTTAAAGAATAATAATCAACATAATAATATATCGATAGGTGTACTTATATATATCTAGGTACCAAAGTCATAACTCATAATATAGTATGACCGACAATGAAAGGATAAAAAATAAATACTCCTTTAGAGCTTGTCATGTAACAATACATGATTGATGTACAACATGCACTTCATATAGGCACAACTAGCTAAATGATATAAACTATAATATGTAAAAGAAACGAGACGGACACAGGGCTGAAATCTGTATTTATATATTTTCGCAAAATGTTCTAAAGATAAAATATAATTAATTAATTGCAAACTTAAGTTAGGTAGCTCGTCAAAAATAATCAATTATACAAAACAATTACTTTGTAATGGACTCAACAACCTGAGTCGATATCGGTGATAGGTATTAAAATCAGATCTAGAAACGTAATTTCCCCCGACAAAAATTTCCCCGGACATAATCTTTTCATTCATTTATTTATTTTTTAGGTAGTTGTAATTTCTATAACTTTGATAAATTATGGATTAAAACGTATATATATTAGGTACCTGGTACACATACAATGTTACAAATACAGTTTTATTTGTTTCCAATCCTTCAATGTGACAATGTAATATAAGTAATAAAATTAATAATATATTAAAAACATATTTTTTTAGAAAAATGTTGTTTTTAATGACTAAAATTTTATAAAAGAATACTTTCAGAAGGTTGTAGCATAGTTTTTGAAATGACGAATGGTTCATAAAAAAACGATCATCCGTTAACTATATATGATATATGTATTGTTATCTTGTTTTCAACTTATTCACAAACTATAAATAGATAAAATAATATAATATTGTTGTATTTGAATTCCTAAACTAATTGGAATTAGCACTTGCAAAAATGTCATGTTCAAAGACGAGGTTAAAATAAAAGGTAAATTAGAAGATCAAAGTATTTACAATACAATTTTTTCAGCTGTGAAAATGTACGTTTAGTGTGACGTTTTTTTATTGAGTGGAAATGAATTCGGAAATATTGTCCACACGCTGAGAATTAATGGAAAGAGTTTGTTCAGGGAGATCACTGTCTGAGGAGATTTGGTCCGTTAGTATGAATACTATAGGTATAACGAGTAGGTTTGTAACCCAACATTATTCGCTCCGCGTTTCAATTAGTAGGTAATAAGTATGTAATAGTAATATTTTTAGTTCTAAAATCATCAGCTAAATCTAATCTAAAAATACGTGTCAGGCTCAATACTATGATTTCTGTTATGGTTTGAATTAACAAATGATAATGTCACATTATTAATTATTATCTCAATATATGATATAATTAAACATAAACGTTTAAATGATAATAATAGTATGAACTAATCAAATAAATTAAAAGCTACCTATATTATACGCAAACAACGTGCACAGAATTTTATCGTTCCTTATACTAATCGTGTATTAATAATTATTAATTAGTTGGTATATCTTTTAAAATAATATTTAAATTTTTTACTAGAAAATTCAATGAATTTATCGAAAATGTCCTACGGAAATGCAAGATGTGTAGATATACCATGCGTGACTTATATCGGATTCAGTTTTTGAAACTGAGATATTGGTGGTTTCTTATATCGTTTCATGGATTCAACGAAATAGAGTACGGATCGGTACTCGGTCACATGTCCAAGATACATACAAAAAATGACAGTGTAAACTTGGTGATGTATAAATGTATGATACAAAATACATCTACTGCTAAAAAAAAAATGTCTAACTTTCTTTATAACTGTCAAACAATGCCCAACAAATCAATAAAAACATGGTTTAGTTTAAAAAAAAGTGAGTAACCACTATCTGCTGTACAGTAGTTGTGCGTGCCTCGTCATTGAGCAGGTCACTGTAATGAGTGTGTTAAATTGAAATTCAATAGTAAATCTTTGTACCCGAAAAACAATTTTGAATAGAGTCGGTTATTACTTATTACTAACACTTAACAGATTATTTTACCATAGAATATTTAAATATTGATATTATTGTAATATTATCTATTGAAATTTATTTTACTATTACTTATTAGTAACAAGGTAGGTTGAATAATTTTTTTCCTAATACATCGATTCGGGAATTTAAAATGGTTTTACAATTAAATTGTATTCATGACTATTATATTAGTATTTTATAAATATAAAATATATTATTGTTCGTAATTTTTGATTCAATACCGACTTACCGTAGAAAGGTGTAAATCTAATGTTTGTAGAATAAAAAAAAAAAACTTAATTCCAAGCCATTTGCCTACGAATGACTGTGAATGCCCCCTGGTACGTTACAAATGTCAGCCTTCACAATGAGCTAAAAATTGCTACTATCAAACAAACAGCTGCCAAATTCTACACTCTCCTCCACTCCATAACGGCACACCACCCCAACTGCCTCATCGCTCAACTTCACTCCAACCATCTTCCAGAAAACCCGCCAAGACGTCTCAAAAGAAATTGGCCCAGAGACCTACTCAAGACTTAATGCATACCTTTTAAGAAAATTAAATCAAATTAAAATATTTTAAGCTCAGGTGCTTCAAATGTGAGGCTCCTTCATGTCATTCTCTGTCCCTTTTACATCTTATCTTATACCTTTTACTTATTGCGCCCCCCTTGTACAGATTGTAAATATTCATAAAATAAAAGTCTTTAAAAAAAAAAAAAACTTAAAAAATATTTTGAAAGTATCACGGT